AGATCTCCAGGCCTCAGTGCTCCTCACCTGTGTACTCTTCCCTACATCTCAGCTGGTGGCCAGTGTCGCCCCTCAGAGCCTGGCTCTAGAGCAAAGGGTGCAGAAGTGACTAGAGCATGCGAGCCCCAATGCCACGGGGTGGAGGGGTCCCCAGCCTAGGACACTCCAAGAAGTACCAGCAGTCCCCGGCCCCTCTCACCCATCCCTCATGGGATTCTCTCCCTATCCAAACAACGGTTTTTAGTTTTTAAATTTTTATTTTTGTTAGTACATGTTTGTAGTAATGATTGCATTCATCACAGGGAGTTGGTATATGTACGTGACACATCTGAATTTTTTTAGTTGAACAGTGTTTTTTAAATAACTTCTCAAGAAAAAAATAGTGAGATAATATGGAAAGTCTAAACGATATGCTCTGGAAACAATCTTTTCTGATGCATTTGGTTCGAAAGGGTAGGTATTTGACACTTTCAGAATCCAGATGGCCAACAGTTCCTATGAATCTATTTGTTTTCCCTTTCCATGTACGCAATAATGTCAAATGTGCTAGGCAGCCAGGTTAACATTTTAGACAAACTTGATTAACTTTTAATATAGACTGTTATAATGCACACTGATTATACATAAAAACCTTATATATGACAAGTTAAATTTAAGAAAAAAAAAAACACTTCTTATTGGGGTCTAACTTTATATCTACAGAAAAGCTACTAAGACCGTACAGTCCCCATGTATCCCACACCCCACACCCGACAGAAGGCGCTGACTTGGCCATTAACTTTCTTGGGATCCTGCCAGTTTCTTCATTAATGTCTTCTCTTTGCTGCAAGATCCGATGCTGCACTAAGCTCAGCCTGGAGTGCTGGCCAGGCCTCTGAGACGATCCTAAACTCGGGCTCCATTGCACCCCTTCTTGTCTTTGGGGCAAGTCTCCCCGTCTGGCCCACCCTCACCGGAGGCGGCCTGCTTAGGCACTATCTTTAGAAGGGGGAATATCTGCTACATTATATTGTCTACATATATTTTCTGGAGCACTCAAAGATAGATTTGTCTCTTGAATCATTTACATTTAGTTCATAACGGACTTGTGCATTTATGTGATTCAGGGGACCCTCATGTGCTTTGTCCCAGGCTTGGGCAGAGGGAGTGCCTGTGTCTCCGTGACGTGTGCAGCCTTTAGTCTGTGATCACTTCCTCTATGGCTCTATGAGAAGCCCCAGGCTCATCCTGAACATTCCCTGTCCCAGCTCTAGACCCCGTCATTCTACCAAGGCGCCCTGATTACCAGGATCCTGTGATCCTTAGAGAACCCTACACAGGGTTTTCCGCAGTGGGGTCACCTGGTCCTCAAACTGTCCTAGCTGCCCAGCACTGGTCCCAGGACACAGAAGCCATCTGCCCTCACTGCTCGGAAGACGTGGTGCTTTGTGCCTGTCCTCCAGGCTTGCATTAATGCTGGTCTCAAGGCGAGAGACATCTGAGCCCGCTGGTGGAGGGGTCCACTCTACCACCCATCAGATGAGCTCTGACACAGCGGTCATCTGAAGGTCACACTTATTGGAACTACACAGAATTAAGCTGCCATGCGGTGTGACTAGTGTCTATCAATCTTTTTTTCTGTTCATTTTTCAAACAAACCCACAGACTGAAGAGGAAGGTCCTTCATTAAATCAAGCAGGGCCCAAGTTCAAGTTTCTAAGTAGAAATCGGACCACCTTGTTGTCTTAATGTCCCTATGCTACAGCCCCTCTGCCTCCCAGGCTGCCTTCCTCCTGGTGCCTCAGGCACATCAGGTCCCTCCCCTGGGACGCCCGCCTCCCTGACTACCAGGTACCTCCCTGCTGCCTCTGTACTCTTCACGTCCCCAGGCAATGCCGGGTCTTTTGCCACCCCTTGAGTCACACGCTCTGGAAACACGTTCCAGGTTAGGGGCTCCACGAGGGGCTGCTCCACCCCTGCCCCATGACGCAGTGGCCCCAGACCCTTGCAGAAACAAGATGGTGGAGCCAAGTTCAGCTTTCACACTTTCTGCTTTCTCCTAGGTGGTCAAACAGGTGCTGGCCCGGACCAGCAGCGGGGGATTCTGTGGGAACGATGGCTTCATGCACATGACCCTGGCCAGCCTGCCCTTCGGAGGAGTGGGTAGGTGCTGCTCTCCCACGCCCTTCTGTGATGGCACCAAGCACTCCCTGACTACATTCCTGCTGTGAATGCAGGGGGGCCAGCAAGGAGGCTCCTCTCCAACACCGTGTCCCATCCCACCCCACTTCAGCCCCAACACCCATCCCCTCCCAGTCTGGCACAGAGCCCTGCAGACCTGTCTGCACATACCCATGCAGGTGGACTGAAATTTTGTTATTTTTCTTTAAAAACACAACTGTTGCCACCTTGTCTGCTCTGTCGCTGCTCACCAGCTCTTGACAGGCTATGACCTGTGACAGCCACTTCCCCTCCCTGAAGCCACTTCCTCAGTGAAGGGGCAGAAGTAGAATGGGTGACTCCAGGTCTCCCTCTCTGTCCATATCTGGCCAGCTCTACCTGGTGGAGGCTGGACTCTCCCTGGAGGGTGGCCAGTGCCACAGCTGTTCACAGCAGGCTGACAGCTAACACCATGGCAGCACAAGCCTGGCAGGGGGATGCACTGCATCCCTGGCTCTGGATCTCCCTCTTGCCTCTGGGAGCCTCAGCTCTCCCCTGGGCCCCTGCTGGACCCTGCCTACCTGCCCCTCTCCAGTCCTGGCCCCTAGAACACATAAGCCCCAGGGAGGAGTAGGGGTCTGTCTGCACACAAATCTAAAAGTCCTCCTTGACTGCCCAAATTCACCCAGGCTGTGTCCTCTGGATGACTCTGGCTGGGTCCTTGTCTGCCTCCCTTTGACACTGAGAACTCATGACAACAAGACCCTTACTATGTCCATGGTCAGAACACTTACTTGCTGTCACAAAAGAGGAGACAGAGGCAGTTGCTTGACAGAGCTATTCATGGCAGAGCCAACACCAACCCTGGCCAGTCTGGCTCAGGAAGACATACCACTGACACTGTCTGGTGTTCCCAGAGCTTATCGAGCTGCTGCTAAAGCCTGCCTTGGGGCCTGGCCCTTCAAACACAATGCTTCATAATTAGCTCACTGTACAGATGGGGAAGCTGTGGCTCACACGAGTAATGCAGCCCTCCTGTCAGAGCCCAGGTCTGCCTGACACCTCCTTGGCTGGCCGCCGAGGGCCTGACCGCATGTTTTCTGCTACTGCACAGGTGCCAGTGGAATGGGCAGTTACCATGGCAAGTTCTCCTTTGACACCTTCTCCCACCACCGTGCCTGCCTGCTGCGCAGACCCGGGATGGAGAAGATCAACGACTTTCGCTACCCGCCCTACTCACCAAGAAACCTGAGGGTGCTGCTGATGGCCATGGAGGAACGCAGCTGCAGCTGCACCCTGCTTTAAACCTGTGAACGCTAGGTGCCCGCCCCCCCGCAGCTGCTGCAGATATGGCCTGTGGTCCGGGGCACAAGGACGCTTGCCAGGCCACAGAGCAGCCTGCTCAGCCCAGAGCAACGCCTGCCTTCCTCCCTCTTGGGGTTCCCTTTTTGGGTTTCCAGCCACAGCCCAACTCGGCTAAGTTGAGTGGGAACATGGGACAGGTGTGCAGCGACAGTGACCTGTTCCCTTCCTCCCTCACCAGACACCCATGTCCTAGGAGAAAAGGTGCAGCAGAGGGAGGAGCCCTGGCATCTGTCACACCTTGGAATCTGTGACTGTGCCATCCCTGTCTTCTCTAAGCCTCAATTTTCCCAGCTGTACACTAGCGGTGATGAACAACTTATACTTCCTGAGACTGTATGAAGATTAAATCAGGGAGGTGCACACACTGAGGTCCAGGTGTCCCTCTCTTCACCCTTGAGCTGCCTCCCTCTTCTCTCCCGCCAAGTGGGGCCCTGCGCAGGCCTCTCCGGACCTCCGCATACCTCACTCTCACGCAGGACTGCTCCTCCGCCCCATTCCGCCTATCCTGGGAGCTCTCATAGTCTCAGCCACCAAAGGGAAGATCCCGCGCTCCCTGCTGGGCAGCCAAGTTCTATCTTGGGGCACATCTCGCTAATTCTGTAGCACCCAGGAATGCTTTGGTCCGTACTCGAATCACGAGGCCAGGCCAGGCCTGGTACACGCCACCACCCATCACCTCCCTTCTCCCCGGTGCACACCGATCTTCCCCCAAAAAGCGGAACCATCCTAGTCCTCTGCCTGAGATCCCTAGGAGGCTCCCTGTGACCCAGCCACAACAGTCCTTAGGAGGCTTTCTCTCTAGGGCCACGCATCAGCCCCGCACTCAGCCTGTTCTTGTCCGGAGGACCTCTACGCACGCGGCACATGCCCTCTTTATCCTTCCTGGCCTGCTCAAGTCCTAGTCACCGTCACCTAAGATACTGCCTCCTCCAGGAAGTCTTTCCTGACCGCCTCCCTAGACACACGCAGACTGACTCGGGGGGTCTCCGAGCCCGCAGCCCTCACAGGTTCCTCTACCACAAACACGCGAGGAAATAGGTGGGTGGACAGCTGGGGTTCTCGAGCCTTACGGATCTAGGCGCACACCAGCGGGTCGCACCGCACGACTGGCCGGCTGGACACGTCCCTGCCTGAATTCATCCGTAAAGTGATAACAATGATTCTCCCACACGGGGCTTGGTGAAGTCACATGGGCTGTGTTTGCGCGGAGAGACGCTATAGCCTGATTCTCTTAGCGGTCCTGATGCTGACCCCACAGAGCCCAACCAGTCACCCAACCCGCTACACTCCTGAGCCATTTCCTAAACAGCGCCCCGGAAGTCCCGCCTCCAGCGGCTCGGAGGTCCACGCGAATTGGCCTCTCTAAACTAATATGGCGGCGCCCTCCAAAGCTTCAAGCGCTTGTTCTCTCTCGACCAATCAGAGGAAACACATAGCTAGATTCCGCCTTCTTCAGATGGGAACACCAGCCAATCAGGCCACACCATGAAGGATCGCCCCGGAAATGGCGAAGCCAGCCGACCCAATAGTAGTGTCGCAGAGTTAGGCTCCGCCTCTCGGCTGTCCAGCACGCTCGGCTAGAGAGGGAGCTACCGCTCCTCAAGGTGGGTGTTAAGGCTCGGTCGTGAAGGGCAGACCTGTGCAGCGCGGAGTCAAGGGCAAGTGTGTCCTTGTTAATCCCGCAGACTCTGTGGTCAGGCTCCCTCTTGGCGGGTTTCGGACCCGCTGCCTCTGCGTCCTTCAGCGTGTAGCGGGCTCCCCCTCCGGACGCATGCGCAGCCCGGCCCGACGCCTCTTGCGTCCATGGGGTCAGAGGTCAAGGGGGAGGGCGGAGAAGGTGGTGGTGGCGAGTGCGTGCCGGGGTCTTGAGTTAGTGGTCAAGAGTAGGGCCCACTAAAGGTCACTGGAGAGTCCCATTCGGGCTCTAGTGAAGTGCCGGGACCGGGGCTAGGCCCTTGCCCTTGGGTTGTAGGAATCCTCCAAGTCTCATGACAACCCCCCCATCTTGCTAATGAGAAGCTTAACCTCACCTGCCCAAGGTCACTCAACAGGCTGCCAGACAGTTCTAGGAGATCCTTGCAGTGAGGCGAGGAATTTGATTCTAAGCATTATTTAAATCTTTAAGGTTTCCACCTGGGCCCAATCCCATTGTGTGACTTTGGCCAGTTACTTAACAGGACAAGATGACAGTGTGTGTGACCTACCCTCAGACACTAACGAGCTCTCGGTGTACACCAGTGGTGGTTTGTTGTGTTTTTTTAGGTGAGAATGTAGTGGATGAGCGGGACAGGGGAGAGATGAGAAGCAGGAGCTCTGGAAAGAAGGACTAGGCTTAATAAGCTCTTTAGGAAGTGAGAGAGAAGGAACTTAAGGCCCACAGCAACTGCCAGAATCTTAGGCCAGCTGAGCTGGGCAGATTTGGAGGGCTGGGGAGTGCTATACCTGGGAACTGGAAGGCCCAGAAACAAGGTGTGAGTCGTGCAGGAGATGACACAGAAGGCTGTGGGTGAATCTCAGCTCCCCCCAGTGCCAGAGTTCCTGAGGTGGTCAGTCCTTGACCGCTCGCTTTCCTCTTTTATTCCCCAGATGCAATGCCTGACCACGCCCACACTGCTGCGGGCCCTGGCCCAGGCTGTGCGCACAGGTAGGACGAAGGGGGCCTATCCTGGGGTGGGGGATTGCAGTCTCCTGGTGTGAGATCCCACCTGCAGAAACGTCATCCTTCTCTTTGCAGGACATGCTAGTGGCCGGAGCTTCCACAGCAGTGCCATGGTAGCGACCTATAGTGAGTACCTGGGTGGCCTCCAGCCTAGGTGTTCCTGATTGTGGTCTTGCTGGAGGCCAGGGAAGAGACTTGGGTCCCAATTCTGACTTTGCGAGGTTCCCCCCTCTGAGCCTCAATTTCTACTCTCAAAATGAGGGTGATGATGGAGACTGAATGTGATTCATGGGGCAGAAGCCTCCTTGCAGGAGGTGAGGAGGTGCGGTCTCAGCACAACTCTGAGCGTGATGGGGAGGGAACCTGTGCCTCTTTATCAGAACCCCTTATTCTTTGACTCAACCCTGGTTTGTGGGTCCTCAGCTTAGGGAGCCACCTGGGACAAGGAGAAGCAAGCAGGCCTGCTTAGGGCCGGAGATCACCTTCTGGGGCTCTGGCTGGTGCTGGGGGAGTGAACCCAGCGACTGCACCTAGGTGTGAGGGCTAGGTCTCATCTGCTGAGCTGGATTCCTTAACTTTCTCCCACGGCCTCCCTGCAGAGTACGTGAATATGCAGGAACCAGAGATGGACATGAGGTCAGTGACTGACCGCGCAGCTCGGACCCTGTTTTGGACTGAGCTCTTCCGAGGTGGGTCCTGGTGGAGGTAGGCAGGCTTGGAGTGGGGCTCAGAGAGCGGACCACCCACCATGACTGTGCTGCTCACAGGCCTGGGCATGACGCTGAGCTACCTGTTCCGGGAGCCAGCTACCATCAACTACCCGTTTGAGAAGGGCCCGCTAAGCCCACGCTTCCGAGGGGAGCATGCTCTGCGCCGTTACCCGTCTGGGGAGGAGCGCTGCATCGCCTGCAAGCTTTGCGAGGCTGTCTGTCCTGCCCAGGTGAGCCCCAGCCCACCTGGCTTCCACGCTGCCCCTGGTCTTGTGCAAGGGAGCCCAGGAAGCCCCAAGCCACAACTTGACCCCTCTGTTTGAAGACTTGCCCCAGGAAATTCCCTTTCCTGCCTTGAACCCCCTCCCCTGACCCCGTGAGTGGAACCAGTGAGGCCTTTTGTCCAAGTATTGTGAGTCATTGAGTCAGCAGAGGCCAGCGTCTGCCTGAGCAGGCCAGGTGGGGCCTGTGGGGCCTGTCGCGAGGATCGGCCAAGGGTATGAAGCTTGGATCCATGAGCCATGGGGTGGCACCCAGGCGTCCTTTTCCCTGGATATGGCAGCAGTTTCAGGAGCCCATGCCAGGCTGGAGCTGAGGACTCATCCACCAGTGAGGGTAACCCTGCCCCCGTCCCATCTCTGATGGCTGGTCCTCGGAACCCTGCCAGGACAGCTGGCATGTGGCAGTGACTGGCTGTATTGGTGGATCTTGCCCAGACCACCTGGAGTCAGGCCCCTGGTGCAGGAACAGATGCAGTTGTGGCCCTTGTCCAGGCGCTGGCGTGCCCGGCAGGAGCTCTGGCAAACACAGTCCTTACTCACGGTCTGCATAGCAGCCCCATTCCTGTTTCCATGGCTCAGGGCAGTCCTGGCTCATCTACTGGTCTCGCCCAGGTCCTCCAGGGCACAGGCTGTGCCCTTGACATTTCTCCTCCAGCCAGTGTCCCGGAGCACATAGGAGCGCCCCCGACGGCAGTGGTGGTGGTAGTCATGGGTTGTGGTTTCCAGGTGGTGAGGGGCAGGCTAGGCTCTGTGCCAAGCTTATTCCTTATCACATTTAATTTTGATAACAACGCCAGCAGGTAGAGATCATGTGTCCATTTCTGCTGATACAAAAAGATGAGGCTGCCAGGCAGAGGTCCCACAGTGAGTAGTGAGTGTGACACTCCTGAAGGGAGTGAGAGTTAAATGTCCTGGAAGGTCCTCCAAGCTATGGGAGGTGGCAGGCCAGCTCTTCTTTCCCCCAGCTGTCACAAGGCTGACCTTGGGAACTGAAAGTTAAGGCTATCTTCAAGTCTAGGCTCTGCCACACTGGCTGTGTAACATCAGGAGGCCTTCAGCCTCGCTGAGCCTCAGTTTTGTCATCCACCAAATGGGTATAACTAGACCTGAGTTAGAGTCTTGTTAAGCTTAGACAGTCACTGGCCACTTACTACAGATGAGGGATCCCCTACTCCCAGGACTATCGGTGTGCGGTGAATAAAGCAGATAACAGTCTTCTGTGGGAATGGTATTCTAGGGCAAGAGGTTGGACAGTTAACATGGGAGCAAAAAGAGTGTCAGCTGCAGCAAGCGACAGAGGGTGAGATGGCAGGTGTGAGGGTGGCCCCCTGAGGTTCTGGATGGTGTCTGAAGAGATGGAGCATCCATGCAGACACCAGGGGTAGCGATGAACTTTGAGGGGTTGATTCGGAGCCAGGACATAGCTGGCAGTGTGGCAGTGACTGGTGGCCACTCCTTCACCCAGGCCATCACCATTGAGGCCGAGCCCAGGGCTGATGGCAGCCGCCGGACCACCCGCTATGACATTGACATGACCAAGTGCATCTACTGTGGCTTCTGCCAGGAGGCCTGCCCTGTGGATGCCATCGTGGAGGTGAGTGAGTGGGGGTGGGGGAGCAGGGGCAGGGGCTCCTGGGAGGAACCTGACCAGGCTGCACCTGTACTCCAACCTGCAGGGCCCCAACTTTGAGTTCTCCACTGAGACGCACGAGGAGCTGCTGTACAACAAGGAGAAGCTGCTGAACAACGGGGACAAGTGGGAGGCTGAGATTGCCGCCAACATCCAGGCTGACTACCTCTACCGGTGATGTGCCCACCTCTGCTCGGTGCCCGCAGCCCCTGCTGCCCAATAAAAGCTCTGACCCTCACTGTCATGTCCTGTCTTACTTCCAGGAGTCTAGGGTGCCCCTTTCTACCTCCCTGAGGCCTGTGGATTCTTCCAGCTAGACCAGGGCGTGGTCCACCAGGCCTGTTCTCTCAGTGGGTTCCAGCTGTCCAGGGATCCTCTGCTGGTCCAGCCCTCTTGTGTGACTCCATGGGCCCTTCAGGCCCTGCTTGTGGTTGCCCACAGCAACCCTGACATGTCGCGTCTTCCCCAAGGTATAGTGATGCTGGAGGCCGCCTGAGGCCTGCTGCTCCCAGTCTCTATAGAGTGTGAGGGGTAGGGCCTGGGCCTGCTTTCTTTTGAGGCCCCAGAACTAAGACCATTACAAGTTGGTGCTTCCCAGCACCTCAGGCTGAAGTATATCAGGAAGCTCAGAAAGCCCAAGGCATCCTTGGGCTGAGGAGGAAGGCTCCTTGGGTGACAGTCACGAGGGGATGACACAAAGCCTCCTGCCCCTGAGCTGGCCTTGCCTCCAGCCACATCCCCTTCCTCTCAGATTCCCCGCACCAGGCTACAGCTCAGTGTTGGGACTTCCCAATTTGCAGTCCCAGCACAGCACTGTGGTTCCCGCTAGCTCTGTGCACTGATGAAATGGCCACTGACAGCGCCTCGAGCCTACTGGCTGTCCTATCATTCTGAGCTTGAGAAAACAGGCTTAGGCGAAGTGACGTCCTCAGGTCACATTGCACATAATGCCTAATTCAGGTCTAGGATAACTCAGGTCCCCTCCCCATCCTTTCCGAAAATGCTATCTACAGAACATTCTCCAAGATGCATTGGGAAAAGAAGCGGGAGGGTGTTCTGCGGACCAGTGAGAGATGCCCCAAGTGCCCTCTCGACTCAGGCAGAACTACAGATCAGACATCCAAGGTGGGCAAAGGCCTGCAGCAGAGAAACGCAGCCTGTCCCTGGGGACCACACAGCCTCACCCTGGGGGTGAGATGTAACTGCGGCAGCTGAAGGGAAAAACAGCCCACAAATGTCTGTCCTGCCCAGTGCTAGTCCCAGTGGCTGTTGCAGACAGGAATTCTTTCCAAAGAGGTGGGCTTAGAAATCCCAGACGTCTCCAGTTTACCTTTTCCCAGACAAAACTTAGATCCTTGGCATAGTGCCTTATTGTCCCTAGACAGACGGGACGTTTGCATTAAACATGGCACAGACTGTACCCAGCTGGTAATCTGGCTCTTGCCGGTACACCATTTCTGCATTATGAGTGTAGACAAGACCAGTGTTTTTGGTCTTTTTGAGACAGGCCGTCACTATGTAACTCAGGCTGGTCTTGAACTCACTATGTATCCCAGGCTGGCCTGGAACTTTTGGTGATCCTCCTGCCTCCAGCTCAAGATAGCCAAAGAGAGCTGGGATTACAGGTGTGCACCACCACCCATGACCTTTTGTGACATGGTAGGGCTCCAATTGCTCCTGCACTCTGAATTGTCCTGGGGCTCTTCCTACTGCTGGCTAGAGCAGACCCACAGGCCCCAAACACAAGCCCCTGGGTTTCGTGGGGATGCTGACCTTGGCTGTGACTCAGTTTCTAGGCTTCACTCTGGGGCTCCATTTGCACCCCTCCTCAGGCCCTTGCTTCCTGTATGTGGCTCACGGATCACCAGGTCTGAGGGGCCCTACCTTCCTCTGGTCCCAGTGGGTACAGTCCAGCCTGTACAAAGTGTGGGCAGGTGGACAGTCATGAGGTCTTGTCTCGGTTTCAAGGCACTGAGACCCGGTGAGCCTTATGAAGCTGATTAGAATCAAGGTCACCTGGACACCCCCGGTGCAGGCAGCTGAACAGCTAACCCACTGTGCTCGGGGAGAATTTCCCCGTGCCTGCTGGGTTCATAGGACTGAGCAGAACACGGCATGGCTTGGCCCTCATTGTCCTGCTGCCGTCGAAGAAAAAGGCACAGAAAGAAGCAGCCCCCTCCTCACCCCACAAGGACACAGAGCACTGGGCTTGGAGCTCAGCTCCTGTCCTAGGTGGTCAGAGCAGGACGGTGTGAGCCCGCGGAGAAACGGGCAAGTCCCAGAGGCGGAGGACCGCGCCTGAGAGGGACGGGTCTGGATCCCCGGGCCAGCAGCCCGAGTGTGTTGGGGTCCCCTGCCACAGGGCCAGCGAGCCCTCCAGGTGCGGGGAGAAGGGGTCCCATCTCCTAGGCTGCAGCCGGGCAGCGCTGGGCACCTCCCCTGTCTCCTGGCCGCCGCTGGTCCATTTCTCGGCTCCGTCTGCTGGCCACGTCGCCGATTTCCTATTCAAAGTTAAGTAAACCCGGCGAGGGGAAAGAAACCACCTGTAAAGGCGGCCCAGCTCTCCCAGGCTCGCAGGATTCCGGCCCCGCCTGGGTCAGGGCTGGGGGCGGGGCTTGGGCGGGGCGTTTCCGGCTCTGTCCCCGCCCACCCCGCCTGGAGTGAGCGGCGCGGCCCGAGGCAAGGGTGCAGTGTCTACCTGATCCGGTTGAGATTTGAGAACGGAGAGGCTTGGCCCACCAGAGTGAGTGTCCGGCGCGGTCCGCGAAGCCCCTGCTCTGCCTGCCACCCACTTCCCCTGCTCCGGGAAGGGGGTCCAGGCGCCCCACCCAGCTGGGGCAGAGGAAGCAACTTAGATGGTTACCCCGCCGGTGTCCGCTGTGCTGGGGGTGACAGAGGCGACCAGGAAGGAAAGGAGGGTGGGATTTTAACCCCTGACAACTTCTGAGTCCAGCTCTTCCGGCCCTTCGCTCACAGCTTGCCTTGCTGCATCTTGCCGGGAGGGAGGGGCCCATTCTACAGATAAGGACACTGAGGCCCAAATAGGAAGTGGCCAGGCTAGAAAGGAGCAGGGTGGTTCCAAAGCCCACTTTGAAGAGGAAGTGGGGCACGGAGGAGAGGCTTGGTGGGTCTGGAGGAAGGGGCACAGGGTGAGAAGTGCAGCCTGGCTGGGGACCTGTGTGCTAGGGCTGCCCCCACTGCAGCTCTGCGCTTGGCTCATGCCTGGCTTACCCCGCTGCTGGCCCCCCTACTGGCTGTGCCACCTTAAACTGCCCCTCTTCCAGCCTCAGTTGGCCGACCCATAGGACCAGGTTCCCACGCTGTTTCCAGAGGCTGGTGTGAGGTGGTGTGGCAGGACAAATGCAGGGGACTCACTCACTCGAAGAGGAAGTGGAGGCTCAGCAGGGGCAGGGGGCTTGTCCCATGTCACACAGCCAGTGCCAGCCTGGGTGGATGCCCAAGCCCTGATCCCCGGCCCTCTGCTCCGAGGCCAGAGCCAATCCCTTGGGCCATGGCACCGGTCCCTTTTGCCCTGCGTCCCTGCCCAGGGCCTACTCTTTTGCAGTCTGGGTCTGCCCGATGGGGCTGCAGTTTCCTAATCAGAGTTAAGTAAACCAGGCCTAGGGGAGGAAGTGACCAGCTGGACTGGCTCAGACAGCAGCAGGCGGGGCTCACTGGTGTGAGGTTCCCTCCTCCAGCCTCTCTATCTTGATTTGGGAGTTCAGACAACTTAGTCTCATGAGGGGTCCTGGGACTGAAGAGCAGTGGTCACAGAGCAAGCAGGGGACCTGTAGGGCAGCCTGGCTTCCAAGCTGGGGCACCCAGTGGAGGCCACTCCCCCCCCCTTGCATTTGAGCAAGTCCCTTCCCGCCTGCTTCAGTTTCACTTTCATTGGTTTCCACACCTGGGAGGCTGTCCCCAGCCCCCTTTCCAACTGCCACCAGGGGCACCAGCTGCAGCCCAGTGGTGCTGGGGGCACAGAGGAGGTGCCCCCCCATCTTCCTTCCCACAGGGAGGTAGGAGGCTCTAGCTGCCCGAGGGCAAGCCTCAGCCTAGCCAGGTGTCAGTTGTCATTGCCTGCTAGCTCCTGTACTCAAGGCAAGACTGGAGGTAGCTGGTGCCTGAGGGACCAGAGATAAATAAGCAGGGTCTGGGGAGGCCAGAACCCAGAGGAGGGACAGCAGCAGCAGGGGTGTGAGCAGAGCCAGTGTCTCTGGACAGGGGTCAGAGCAACAAGAGGGTAGCTGAGAGAGAGACCTTGATGCTGGGTTGCAGGTGGAGGGCTGCAGGGCCAGCCGGGCCAGCCCCACGCCCAGTCACACTGCTTCCTTCCTATGGATCTCAGCATCCCATCACCCTCTTCCTGGGCCTCAGTCTCCCCACCTGTCTAGTGGGGTTGGTAGCAGCACCTTCTGGGATTGTGCGCAGAGGTGTGCGTTTTACTTGCTGGCTTGGACCTGTCTGTGGCTTGCCCCTGACACCCCTCACCCACCCTGCAGGACCATGGGCTCCATGTTCCGTGGCGAGGAAGTAGCCCTGGTGCAGCTCTTCCTGCCCACAGCAGCCGCCTACACCTGCGTGAGCCAGCTGGGCGAGCTGGGCCTCGTGGAGTTCAGAGATGTGAGTCTGGTTGGGACAGCTGGGAGGGCTTCATCCTTGGCATCGCTGCTGAGGGGTGACAATGATCCGGGCTTGGTGGGGACCCACCTCCCCCATGACAGCTGGTGGCTCCACATGTGTCCCAGCGGCCCTGTCATAGGTGCTCTGCTCTTAGGAGGCCTCCTTGGCTTCTGCTCTTACCCTCTGTGGGTGTGTGGCATCTAAAGGCGCACAGAGTCCTCAGCACCTTTTTGGAGGAGGCATCTAAGGCCCAAGGATAACCCAGGCCTAGGCCCCAGCGTGGGAACCTCCTTGGGACACTAACTCCTCCATGTGGCGACCACAGCTCAATGCATCGGTGAGCGCCTTCCAGAGACGCTTTGTGGTGGATGTCCGGCGCTGTGAGGAGCTGGAGAAGACTTTCAGTGAGTTGACCCAGCAGGCTTCCTGGAGGAGCCCTCATCCAAGCTTGCTCTGAAAGGCAGAGACCAGGTGACCCAGGTGGAAGGCAGAGAAGGGAGGTTCAGGCAGGGCCCAGAACTTCATCCTCTGCACACTGGAAGCCACGAGCAGAACAGAGGCAGGGACAACTCTCTGCTCTGTGATGGACCGGGATGGGTGGCCCCCATGGTCTAGAGTCGCATCCTCCAAGGAGCAGCTCCTTCGTGGATCCAGGCAGGAGAGACCCAGCCCTGGGCCCTACCCTGACCACCTCTCCCAGCAGAGAGGAGCCTCCCAGACAGCCAGAATAGGACGAGAGGGCAGGATTTGCCTTGTGGTTTGTGAGTCTGACTTACGGCACTAACAGGCCCGGCAGTTCAGCCCTCATCGCAGGTTTGGGGATGCCAGGGCCGGCCTCTTGGGAGACCTCAGAGGGTCTCAGGGCCTGGGCTGGCAGAGGCTCAGGGATGGGGGGCAGAGCAGCCTGGACTTGAGCTTCAAGGAAGACTTCCAGGATAGAACTGAGCCTGGGATTTCCTGGGGATCCCTGACTCCATGAATTCACTAGCAGGTGTGGTGGAGTTGGGGGTAGCTTTTAGGGTCCTCTAGGCATGAGCCAGCCCTTGCTTAACAGTGGACATTAGCTGAAGCGGCCCTCACAGCCCCCTGACTCCACCCTGTGCACCCAGCCTTCCTGCAGGAGGAGGTGCGGCGGGCTGGCCTGGCCCTGCCCCTGCCTGAGGGGAGGCTGCCCGCGCCCCCACCTCGTGAACTGCTACGCATCCAGGAGGAGACAGATCGCTTGGCCCAGGAGCTGCGTGACGTTCGGGGCAACCAGCAGGAGCTGCGGGCCCAGCTACACCAGCTGCAGCTCCATGAGGCCGTGCTGGGCCAGAGCCACGGCCCCCCGGTATGCGTACACCTAGGGGGTTGCCAGCCCCCACCACCCCCATGCAGGGCTCATAGTGTCTGTCTCTCGGCTCCCAGCTGGCAGCTGCCCACACGGATGGTCCCTCCTCAGAGAGAAGTCCCCTGCTGCCGCCCCCTGGGGGGCCACACCAGGACCTGAAGGTCAAGTGAGTGTGGTCCTCTCGTTCCTTCCTGCCCTGCCTGGTGGATGGGGCTGCTCCTTGCCCAGCGCTATTCCCTCACCCACAGCTCACTCTCTGCCTGCTTCCTGAGGCCTTGCTCCTAGGGCTGGTCTGTCTCTGGCCTTGTTCCTGATGAGGGGTGACCAGGTTGACGGCTCAGGGAGGCATGGGCTGGGGGTCTGAGCTCCTCTCCAGCCCCGGCCTGCAGCTTTGTGGCAGGTGCTGTGGAGCCCCACAAGGCCGCCGCCCTGGAGCGCCTGCTCTGGAGGGCCTGTCGTGGCTTCCTCATTGCCAGCTTCCAGGAGATGGAACAGCAGCTGGAGGACCCCGTGACAGTGAGCCATTGGGGGCCAGGGTAGGCGGGGGCATCCTGGGCCGAGCCAGGGCCCCAGGGTAAACTGAGCCTGGCTCTGGCAGGGTGAGCCTACGAGGTGGATGACCTTCCTCATCTCCTACTGGGGCGAGCAGATTGGACAGAAGATCCGCAAGATCACAGCATGGTGAGCCACCATGCACACCAGCAGGCCTGCCTGGCTTTGGGCGCTTGCTGGCCTCCTGTGCCCCACGCTGTTGCCTGTCACTGGCAGCCTGTCCTGTCCCAGCTCCTCCTGGGGAGCCCCCTCAAAATGACCCTCACATGCGCTCTTGTCCCCGCCAGCTTCCACTGCCACGTCTTCCCATACCTGGAGCAGGCAGAGGCCCGGCGGGGGGCCCTGCAACAGCTGCAGCAGCAGAGCCAGGAGCTGCAGGAGGTGGGCTCCCACCCCGCCCCACCCCCTCCCCTGCCTGCCTGGCCCCTTCTCACCACTCACGCCTGCCCGCAGGTCCTAGGGGAGACGGAACGGTTCCTGAGCCAGGTGCTGGGCCGGGTGCAGCAGCTGCTGCCCGCAGGACAGATGCAGATCCGGAAGATGAAGGCTGTGTACCTGGCCCTCAACCAGTGCAGTGTGAGCTCCACACACAAGTGCCTCATTGCCGAGGCCTGGTGTGCCGTGCTCGACCTGCCCACTCTGCAGCAGGTGCTGCAGGACAGCTCGGTGAGCATGGCCAGGCCTCATCCCTTCCCGCCTGCCCGCCCTCCTACCAGGCAGGTGCCTCCTGGCTGCATCACACCTCATGTCCCCAGCATCTTGCCTTTGCCCTGGATGGGGCCAAGGCCCCCTTTCTCCCAGCCACCTCTTCTAAGGCCCAGATGGCCCTGGGCCCTCAGCCCACCCTCCTCTGCCTTCCCAAAGCCTTTGCAGTTATAGTCAGGAAGCTCCTTCACCTCCAGACTCCAGATGTGGTACGGAGACCCTGACGCGGGGGCTCTGTGGTGCACCCTGCTGGTGGGTGCAGGTCTTGGGCTGCCGGAGGAGGAGCACACCCTTCTGTTTCTCAAGCAGCTTCTAGTCTAGGTGATGCCTTTGGCGCCCTTGAGTCTCCTGACCTGGCAGGGTAAGGCTGATCATCCTGCTTCTCAGAGAGAAGGGGGCAGCCTGGCTCACTCCCATGCCCACCCGGTGCTCACCAAGTGAGCCCTGCACCGCTCTGCATCTCAGCTGGGCCTGGCTTGGGGTCCCAGGGCTCCTGAAGGCCCCCAGCCTTGGTCTCTGTCTCTGCCCGGGCTCCAGAGTGAGGCGGGAGTGAGTGCCGTGGCTCACCGCATCCCCTGCCAGGACATGCCCCCGACTCTCATCCGCACCAATCGCTTCACTGCCAGCTTCCAGGGCATTGTGGACGCCTACGGTGTGGGCCGCTACCAGGAGGTCAACCCTGGTGAGAGCTTGCACCTGCACCCCTGTGCCCAACCTGGGGGCCTGGGCCTGGGCCGGAGTGGAATGGTCTCCAGTCTGGGCCAGCCCACACCTTTGAGAAGTGCAGTCCCCTCCCCATCTCTCAGGGCCTTTGTGTTTGTCCCCAGCGAGTTCCCCTTGCTGGATTCACAGGAGAGCCAGCTTGGGTTTGTGCCTTGTGCGGGCCTCGGCAAGCAAGAGCTCAGCTCTGAGTCCAGCTAGCTTGCTTTGATGAGTTTCTTAGTTGCTCTGAGCCTGTTTCCTCATCTGTCAGGTGGAAATGATAGTACAGACTCGAAGACATGTTAGAGAGGTTGGATCATGAGAGACACCATGTTTGAGACTGAGTTCATTCTGTTTTAGGTTCGCTCTAACATGGGTGTTCCAGTGGGCTATTAATGGAGATGTCTTCAGGAGAAATCAGTCAGGGGTGGGCTGTGGGGAGAACCAGGAAGGGCAAGGAGGATGGCATGCAGTTGTAGTCCCAGTACCTTGGGAGGCTGAGGCAGGAGGATCAAGAGTTCAAAGTCACTCTGACAGCTTGCTGTTCCCTCTGGCCACTGTTCTCTGGGGAGGGGCCTTGGTCCCACCCACTGCGCAAGTCAGGATGCCCAGGTTCCTGAGGTAGTAGGCAGGATATGAGGACGGAGTCTGAGGCTGTGGGGCCCCAGGCCAGGGGCCACCTGGTGTCACCTGTCCCGAGTTTCTCCTCATTGACAGATGCCAGTTAGTTAGGACCAGTGGCGTTGTCCAGGTCCCCACAGTGGACGGTCTGCTGCTGCAGGCTCTCAGAGCCGTGGCTTGGAGCACCACAGTGGCTGATCCCAGACGCAGCTCACAGTTCTGGAGCTCAGAAATCCAAGGTCAAGTTGTTGACCGGGTCAGTTCCTCCTGAGGGCTGACTTGGTCTTGGCCTCTCTCCTGAGCTTGTAGGTGGCACTATTCTCCCTTCATATGTCTGTGACGGTGTCCAAACTTCCCCTGTTCTGTAGGGATATCAGGTATATTGGGGTAGAGCCCATCCAGTGGCCTCATTTTCACCCCTGACCCCTGTAAGGATACTGGCTCATGGTAAGGTCACATTCTGAGGGGCTGGAGGTCAGGACACAAATGTACCTTTTTTGGGGCACAGCTTAGCCCATGTAGGGCATGTGTACTGGAATCTGTAGGGAGCTCATTGGTCTCTCAGTGTACCCCATGGGGAGGAACAGAGGTGGGTATGAGGAAAATAAAAATGAGAGAAAAGCTGGGACCAGGTAGAGTAACCTCTTTGGAGGGCTAGAGGACCGAATAACACTAGTACGGGCATTAATTTATACCCTTGCAAAGTTAGTATCAAGAGAGGCAGTGTTGCCTAGCGACTAACGACTGAAGTTGTCCAGGCAGGATGTTTTTCTCAAGACGGGTAGTTTGACTGCTTGAGGCACTGTGGCTCTGTCCTGCCCTCACACATATGACCAATTTCCAGCTCCAGCCGCTCTCAACAGGAATCCGTCTACCCCCCATGAAGAATTGTTCCATTTTACTTTGGGGAAATAGACCTCAGAGATTAAGTGACCAGCTCAGCCTTCTGGAATTGGCCGTGTGCCCACCAAGAACATCTTGGAGCTCTCTGTCCTTTCTGTAGTTCTGCTTAATGCTTTGCAGAATTAATGTTAGTGGTCAGACGTGCTACTTACCTGTAGACTCAGGTACTCAAGAGGCTGAGAAAGAGGATAGCTTGCAGGAGTTTGAGACCAACCTGGGCAGACAGCAAGACCCCTTTCAAAGATAAATAAACTGGGTGTGGTGCTGCACACCTGTAAGCCCAGCACTGGGAGGCTGAGATGGGGAGTTTGATTCCAAGCTGGGCAACTTAGTGATTTAGTAAGACCTTGTCTCAAAGGTTAAAAAAATAAATTTAAAAAAAAGGCTGGGGATGTAGCTCAGTGTGAAGGCCCTGGGTTCAAATCTTAGTACCAGAAAATAAAAGTTTCAGCTGCTAACTTGCCATTGAGAACCAGTGGCCTGCTCCTGCCCATGGAGACTCAGTTATAATAATCCTATGAAGCAGCACTGTTGTTGACTGTATTTTCAGATGGGGAAACAGGCTGAGAGGTTGAGTAGCAAGCCCAAGGCTGCAGAGCCCTGGAATGCCAGCAAGTGGTGTCCCTGCCTTGAAAATGCCCTCTTGGCAGTTCCTGGGGTCCAGAAGCTTGGGGTCCTTGGAGGCACCATGGACCAAGGGAGCAGATGCTGGTTTCCCTCTAGGCTCTGGCTGACCACGCACTCCTCTGCCCGCAGCACCCTACACCATCATCACCTTCCCCTTCCTCTTTGCGGTGATGTTCGGCGACGTGGGCCACGGGCTCCTCATGTTCCTCTTCGCCCTGGCCATGGTGCTTGCAGAGAACCGGCCGGCCGTGAAGGCCGCACAGAATGAGGTGCGGGCTGCCTGGGACCTGGGAGGGATGGGGCGGCAGGGCTGGGCCGCCTCTCACCACGCCACCCCCTCCAGATCTGGCAGACCTTCTTCGGGGGCCGCTATCTGCTTCTGCTCATGGGCCTGTTCTCTGTGTACACCGGCTTCATCTACAACGAATGCTTCAGCCGAGCCACCACCATCTTCCCCTCTGGGTGGAGCGTGGCCGCCATGGCCAACCAGTCTGGCTGGAGGTGAGGCCTACAGCCCCCAGCCCCTGGTCCCCAGCCTACTCTACCACCTGGGCCTGTGCTTCCTGACCACCGCCCACTGTTGTCACAGTGATGCATACCTGACCCAGCACCCACTGCTCACCCTGGACCCCAATGTCTCTGGTGTCTTCCTAGGACCCTACCCCTTCGGCATTGACCCGGTAAGTGCTGCCACTCCAGTGCTCGTGGGGTGTAGGCTGGGGTGGAGACTTCTGCACCCCATCTGCCTGTGCCTCCTTCAGGAGCCATCCCCAGCACCTACTGTGTGCCACGCTCTGCATTATGCACAGGACACAGCCCGTCCTGCTGGGCCTGTCCCTGTCACCTGAGGGGGCAGAGAAGCCTGCACTTGTAGCAGCTCAGCCTGTGCTGAGCCCTCTGTGAGGAGTGGTTTTACGTTTGGTTCACGTAATGACCCCATGGGTGTCCATTGTCCAGATGAGAAAACTGAAGCCCAGGCCACACAGCAAGGTCACCTGGCTGGGAAGAACGGGCTTGAGCTCAGGCTGCCTGACCACTCTGACCTCTCAGCCACTCACTCCCTTCCATTACCCCTCAGCAGTGGTCACAGAGGGTGCTGTGGTTGATAAGGGGCTTGGACTGCAGGGCTCCCCGCCACCCCCTGAGCATGGCACCCTCTCCCATCACCCCAGGTCTGGAGCCTGGCCACCAACCACCTGAGCTTCCTCAATTCCTTCAAGATGAAGATGTCTGTCATCCTGGGTGTCATCCACATGGCCTTCGGGGTGATCCTGGGTGTCTTCAACCATGTGTGAGGACAGAGCTGCCGGGGGAGGCAGGGGGAGTGGCCAGGCAGGCCGAGATAGCACTCTGACCCACCTGCTCCCCTAGGCACTTTGGCCAGGGCCACCGGCTGCTGCTGGAGACATTGCCCGAGCTCATCTTTCTGCTGGGCCTCTTTGGCTACCTCGTCTTCCTGGTTGTCTACAAGTGGCTGTGCATCACAGCCGCCAGCTCTGCCTCCGCCCCCAGCATCCTCATCCACTTCATCAACATGTTCCTCTTCTCCAGCAGCCCCACCAACCGGCCGCTCTACCACATGCAGGTGGGCTGGCCAGGAGGTGGTGCGCACCACCTCGTGGGGACCTCGCGTCCCTGGGCTGCTCAGAGGTATAGGGTCTTCATCTACGAAATGGGGCTGTGGGCCTGAGGCCCTGCAGACAGGCTCTGAGGCGGTGGCATAAAGTTCTGCGTGGGTGATGCACAGTGGTTACTGGTGGCCCGAGGCCCCTTTCAGGAGTCCGTGTGGAGCGATATCCCTTAGTGACAGGCACCCGGCGGAGAAGGGCCTGAGCTCCTGAGCGCCTGCTGAGAGCACTGTGACCTGATGCACCCTCTTGCCCCCAGGAAGTGGTGCAGTACGTACTGGTGGTCCTGGCCTTGGCCTCGGTGCCTGTCCTGCTGTTGGGCACACCTTTGTACCTGCTGCGCCGGCAGCGCCACCTCCAGAGAAGGCCTGCGGTGGGACAGGTAGAGCCTGAGAGGGGACAGCTGTGTGGGAAGCAGGCTGCCGTGGATGTCCCTCACCCTCAGTCCTGCGGGCTTGGGCGGCTGTGAGCTGGGGGTTGGGGGCTACTTACACTGCCCGTTCCCACCCTCTGCCCCAGGATGAGGACAAGGCCAAACTTACGGACTCCCCTGATGCCTCTGAGAGTGGCTGGGGTCCTGATGAGGAGAAGGCAGGGTGCTCTGGGGACGAAAAGGAAGCTGAGGTGGGTGTGACACTGAGAGGGCTGTGGTGGCCGCCAGCCCAGCTGGCTCCTCCGTGCTGCTCACTGCCATCTGCCTGGCTGCCTGGCAGCTTGTTCCCTCCGAGGTCTTCATGCACCAGGCCATCCACACCATCGAGTTCTGCCTCGGCTGCATCTCCAACACGGCCTCCTACCTGCGCCTCTGGGCCCTGAGCCTGGCCCATGCCCGTGAGTGGCCAGCAGAGTGGCACGGACAGTGGGGTGGCCTGGGTTCTGTTCCAGAGCACTCACACAGTGGCTGGCTCGGGGGCCTGGGTGTCTCTCTACGCCTCAGTGTCCCCTCTGTGAAACTGAACTTTGCTGACCTCACAGTCAGGGAGGGCATCAGCCCTGGGGAGGGGGCAGGCGGCCACCTCCTCACCCATGACCCCTTCCTTGGCCCTCTTCCCACAGAGCTGTCGGAGGTCCTGTGGGCCATGGTGATGCGCGTGGCCCTGAGTGCAAACCTCAAGGTGGGCATGCAGGCCGTGGCGCTGGTCTCTGTCTTTGCCGCCTTCGCCGTGCTGACCGTTGCTATCCTGCTGGTGATGGAGGGGCTCTCGGCCTTCCTGCATGCACTGCGGCTGCACTGGTGAGCACTCCCCCGCCGGCCTGGGAGCAAGGGCTGAGTGGGCGCCCCTCACCAGCCTCCTCTTCTCACCTGCAGGGTGGAGTTCCAGAACAAGTTCTACTCAGGCACTGGCTACAAGCTGAGCCCCTTCACCTTTGCTGCGAAGGATGAATAGCACCCCAGCGCGTCCTTACCTCCTTAAGCCAGGAAAGCAATAAAGAGCAGGCAGGCCTGCAACAGCATCCTTGTCCTTTCCGAGATACCAGGGGTGGGGCTGAAGCCAGAAGGCAGGGCCCGGGGTTCTGGGCTCTGTTAGGTCCTACTTTGACCCTACTTTCTAGCTGAAGTAGGGTGGGGGTGTGGAGCACTAGTCTAGGGTCTAGGCCTCAAGAAGTCAGGGTGTAGACTCACAGCACACCTACAGTGCCCCAGACTTTTGGGGTGGAAGGGATATACAACACTAGGGCTGAAGAGTGTTTCCGGCACGTTCTAGCTCATGTGAGCCACTGTCTTCCAGCCATGCTGGGGAGTGAGCTTGCCACCCTTGCAGGTATGAGCACTGGCTAGGGGACATCCAACATACTGTGGCAGAAGGTGGCGTTTGTTATGTACCCAGCGCTAGTGAGGAGCTGTGGGACACCCCGGCCTGGTCTAGTGCTGCATGTGGGAACAAGGGGTTACCCACCCGCAGCCAGCCCTCAGGGAAAGGCAGGAGCCATCCAGAGCAGCCAAGGACTTCCTCAGGCCCCAGAAGGTCATAGCAGAGGCTGAAGTGACTCCAGGCTCTGCCCTCCCACACCAAGGCCATTGCCTGTCCCTCTGGGTGATGTCTTGCCCGGAGACCTTCGTTTTCCCTCTGGCCTGAGTCCCACCACAGGCCGGGAAGAGGAGCCAGTGCTTTTCAGAGGCCTTGATTTTTCCAGCCAACAATCTACAAAGTGGTTTTTCCAGCCAGAGGCCCCAGGTGCAAAGGCTATTTTGAGGCCAGAGCTGCCCTGGGCATAGGAAGCCAAGGTGGCCCAGCCCCTGGCTGTGGCTCTGGCCAGCCGCTGAGGGAGACTTGTCCTTTGGGTCTGGGACTGCCCTGCTGAGGACCCCTGAAAGCCAGGTGGGGATATGAGGCGCTCTGAGCAGTTTCTGTGCCTGGTGGACTCAGGTGAGAGACATTGGTAATAGGGTCCAGCTAGCAGAGGAGAGGCCAGCACAGGCCTGAGGCTATGGATGGCCCTGCACTAAGCGTGGAGAGACAGATGCTCAGACCCCAGTGTGGGGAATCCCAGGTAGATGTCAGTTGGTCTTGCCTTGACTTTGAAAACCTAGGCAGCTGGGTTGCCCAGATCTGGCTGCCATGGAAATGGCATACCAACAGCCATGGGGCCATTGCCCTTGGGAGATCATCTGCAATGAGGACTGGGGTGGCTGTGATGCAGTTCCTGCTCACCCAGGAGACAACTGAGCAAGCCAATTAGAACTGCAGGAAAAGCTAAGCTCCCCGAAGAATGTGAAAGTGGTAGGCCAGGGTGGGTGGGGGTCACCAGGAGGTCAAGGGCTGGCCCATCTTAACTGGAAGGGCTCAGAAATGTGTGGAGTGACTTGCCCATGTTTTTCTTTCTTTCCTTGCTATACTAAAAATGGAACCCAAGGCCTTCACATCCCCAGCTACATCCCCAGCCCTTTTTGAGACAGGATCTGGCTAAGTCACTAAGTTCCCCAGGCTGGGCTTGAACTTGTAATCCTCCTGCATCAGATACCCAGGGTGCTGGGATTACAAGTTTTCTACCACGCCTGGGGGTATGGGCAAACTTTTGAGCTGACAAGGACAACTGAAATACCCCATCATTTGGAAAGCTAACCCGAGAGAATCTCAGCCAAGATACTGTATAAGCCAGCTAGGTGTCAGGAGGGTGGGCTGAAGCTAAGCTGGCAGGCAGAGGATGGGTGGGGCATCTTCCTTCTACCGGATGTGAACCTAGAGACTGCACAAAAGCAGCGGTGTCATTTATTGTCCTGTGTAAAAATTTAAGTGTCTCAACAGGTGAATACTAGTCTCCCTCCTGCCCCAGCCCACCGTTCAGTATGCCCCCCCCCCCGCCCCGACAGCCAGGTAGTTTCCTCCACATCCCTCCAGGGGTGCTTGCGTCTGGGGAAGCAGCACCACACTCAGGTTAAGTAGAGGGTGGCAGAGTCCTAGGATGAGTGTGCTGGGCAAGTCTCCTTGAGACTCAGACCCAGTCTCTCCTTGAGACTTAGACACCTAGGGCGGACCCCGAGGCCTCCTGACACCTGAGGCCAGGGAGGCCAGAGGGAAACCAGTGTGTGTGGCCAGCAGGGTAAAGTGTCACGAGGGAGAGGATGATGAGGAGCCAGATGCTGAGCAGCCCACATGCACCTGGACACTGGAGGTAACAGGAGCCCGCCCTGAGGGTTAGGACACATCCAGGGTGACAGCTTGAGTTGAGGTTTAATTTTTTATTTGTATAGTACAATCTCTGTAGTAGCAGAAATATATGCACACAAAAAAATTCAAAGACTTCAGAGTAAAAAAAAAAGGCTAAGAACTTATCCCATTGGACATTTAACATATATGGATTTCACAGCTATAATGTCAGAGCCTCCACACCCCACATGAGGGCTGCCAACTCCCACAGAATGACTTCAGCAACATGGGGAAGGGAATGAGGTGAGGCTGGGAATGCTGGCCACTAGTAAAGCCAAGGCCAGGGCAGGAGGAGGCCTCTGAGGGCCCCTGGGGAAGCCACCCATAGCCCAGGAGCCCAAGCTCCAGGCCAGATACAGGGAAGTGAGAAAGGCTGAGGGAGCCGCCCTATGGCCTGCTCCACCCTGGCAGCATGGAGTGAAGAAAGCCAGCGAGGCCCCCACTGCCCAAAGCTGGAGTTACAAAGCACACTGAATCAGGTATGTCTAGTTACGGTGAAGTCTGTTCGTGTACCAACATGTGTATGCCAGATACAAGGCACGCCCATCTGTCCTTCTGTCTGTCCATCCACGGACAGAGCTCCTGCAGCACGTGTGCAGCCTGCTTCCCCAACAGCCGTCCAGCCCAGAGGCTCCTGGGGACATGGGCTGGGTGCCGCTGCAGACTCCGTGGCTGGAGCTCAGCCCGAAGAGTCACTTCACAGTATGTCTTGTGTTCCTTGGGAGCGAGGGGTGTCTACAACACATCATCACCCACAAAGAGCCTGGTCACAATGTCCACTGGCATGTTAATGAAAGAATTTTTAAAAAAACATTAACCAAAGTACCTGCAGTAACACTGGTCACTCCTGCTGCTGGCCATGTCTGACAAAGTCTTGTGCCCCAAAGAGAAACCACCTCTTCTAGATTAAAAAAGTTCTGAGATATTGCACTATTGTACTATATTTCTGCCTCCCAATCTCGTTTCAGAGTCCTAATGAGATTGTAAACAAGATAGGAAATAAATGTTACTCCATTTTTAATACAGTCCTCCGTATCATACACATCTGTGCGGTGTGAGACATCAAGGCCTCCCCATGCGAGTATGGTGGCTGCGGCGCAGAGGCCCCGCTCGGCCGCCTCCTGGCAGTCCAGTGGTGGAGCGGGTGAGGGTCCTCCCAGTCACACACCAAGCTTCCTCTTCTGCTCGAAATAGGCATCAAACCTGGCTTGGGCGTATTCCTGGAAGACAGCAAGTAAAGAGAAGGCCTTACCAAGGGCTCCTGTGGCCCGGGCCCTGCTCACAGGCCTAGCCCAGCGCTGTGGGCATAGCAAGGACCCCCTGAGCACAGAGTAGACTGTGCTATGGGGCTGTTCTCAAGCTACAATCTGTTCAAGCTCCTGACAGGGTCCTTCACAACTTTACTTTAAAGCTACCGGCCAAGCAGCCAACTCAGGAAGGCCTTGTCTCTGTATCTGGCACCTTGACTATTCCTGGGCTTGTTCACCCAGAACGCCATAGCACACACACACACCTGTCAATGGTTCCCCTTTTAAAGCCGAAAGTCCACGATAAGAGCAAAAGGTGAGCCACAGAGCACCTCCGGGGGTCACTGGCAGCCCCACTGTGACACAGGACACTGGAGAAGACAGGCTGCTGTGTATTCCGGGTCTGTTCCCTCATGCCTACCAGTGTAGGTAACAGTAAAAACTCGCTCCAAGGGGCTGGGGATTTAGCTCAGTGGCAAAGCGCTTGCCTGGCAAGCGCAAGGTCGTGAGTTCGGTTCCCGGTACCGGAGAAAAACAAAAAAAAAAAAAAAAAAAAAAAAACTCGCTCCAAATCTGCTTTAGGAGTCTGCAGTCTAAATTCCAGGAGGTTACACTGTCACGTTTTGAGAAATTAACCTGCAGGCATAGTTTCTACCCCGTGAGCACAACCCATTTTAAAGGTACGCCATGAGGTTTCTACAGATGCACCCGCTGTGACAAGGCAAGTTCCCAGTAGCCCCCAAAGCTCCCCTGGCCTTCAGCAATCAACATCCACCCCTACTCATGGCAGGCAGCTGCTGACCTGCTGTTACCAGCCAGACCCCTCAAACATACTTCACACGTGAGCACACAGGGCGCACCTCTCCGTAGAGTATGTCTGAGAGTCACCCATGCTGCATGTGCATTGCTGGCCGACCTTCCTGCTGCTGAGCAATTTCCCATGATATGGACCTAACACCCTGTTTATGTAAGAGCACACCCACTAACTGGCATTTAGACTGGCTCCATCTTGGGACTATGAAAAATAAAGGTACGGTAAGCATCTGAAGAGGAGCCTTGGTGTGGAAATGTGTACTCAGCTCCATGGGACTCTAAGCCAGGAGATGGACAGTGGGGACTATATCTGCAGGCTCTGTGCCCATGGATTGAAAATATTTAGGAAAAAAAGTTCTCTCTGTACTGAACATGTAGGCTGTTTTGTCACTTCCTAAGATGGGGTATAACAGCTCTTTGCATAACATTCACTGTAATGACAAGGTATTACAAGCAATCTTCAGATGACAAAGTGTACAGGATGATGTAGGCTTGTTTTAATTTGCATTTCATTAATGGCCAGACACACTGAACATTTTTCCACATGTTGTTGGCATAACTGATTTTTGTTTTCGGCCCTTATGTCCTATGGCCTTGGTAAACAAACTCATTAAATAGCTGGTTCTGTTGGACTTCTTATATTTTTAAATGTGTCATCCACAGAATAAAGTCAGTTCCCCTCTTCCTTCCCAGCATGCCCACCTCTCATTTCTGCATCTGCCCCTTGTGCTGGCTGGGAACTCCAACACAGCACGGACAGGCCGCAAGAGGGCAAGTGCCAGACCCTGCTGGTGAGTGGGCGGGGAAGGGCACGCAGTCCTTCCCCAACACTTACAATGTTAGTGAGAGCTCCTCACATATACCCTTTATCTGGTTAAGTTCCCCTGCATTCCTAGTTCGCTGAGATGTTTTATCATGACTAGGTGTTATTCTGTCAATTCCTAAATTCAACGAGAAGATCATACAATTCATGTTCACTCTGTTAATATGAAGAATCACATTAGATTTTTCAACCAACCACACCTTCCAGGGATACATGCAATTTAGTCATGATGTATTATCCTTTTGTATAAGATAGTGTTTTAATTTTGGCCAATGTTTGTTTATGTATTTTTATGTAATGTTCATGAAGGACACTGATCTGTAATTTTCTTGAAATGTCCTTATGTACACTTGGTATCAAGATAACGCTGGTCTCACCAAATGAGGGGCAATGTTCCATCCTCCCTTACTCTTAAAGTTTGTGTAGGCTTAGTGTTTCTTCCTTAAATGTTTTGATGATAATCACCAAGGAAACCATCAGAACATGAGTATATTCTATTGGAAGAATTTTTTTATTATGCCATCTTTTTTTTTTTTTTTCCAGTCTTTTTGAGATAAGGTCTCACCATCCAGTTCAGGCTGGCCTTGAGCTCACTTTGTAGCCCAGGCTGGTCTTGAACTCGCAACAATCCTCCCGCCTCAGCCTTCCGAATGCTGGGATTACAGGTGTGCGCCACCATGCCTGGTAGAACTTTTTATGAATTCGGTTTATTTAACTAATACATGCTATTTCTATGTTGGTTTTGGTCATCTCTGTCTTCTCAAGGAATGTGCACTTTCTTGTGTACTGCCAAATGTATAAAGTTGTTCCTAAATATCTATCATTAAATGTCAATAGGACCTACAGTGAGGTCTTCTCTTTGACACTCAATATTGCTAATGTGTGTCTTCCTTTTTATTTGTCCAATATAACTAGAAACTTATAAATTTTTACTGATGTTTTCAAAGGACCAACTTTTCGAGTTTCATCAGTTTTCTCCAGATTTTGGTCTATTTTCTATTACAATGATTTGTGTTCTTACCCTTCTTGCTTTGGTCATTCTATTTTCTTTAAGCTTAATTTGTTCTTTTTTTGGATACCGAACGTAGAAACTTAGTCATGCGATGAGTCTGAGAACTTTCTTTTTGGTGGTACTGGGGCGTCTGTCTAATATAAACATTCATTTTATAAAGCTGTAAGTTTCTAAACACCATGTCAGTTAAACCCCTCCCATTCTGACAGGCTGTGTGTGCAGCTGTTGGGAACTCGGCAAATGTCTGAGTCAAGCTGACTGTTGCTGCATCTGTCTGTCACTGTCACTGCTTGATGGCAGCAAAATCCTCTACTTTAATTGTGCATCTGCACACCTCTTCTTTCAGCCTCATTGGAGTTTGTTTCGCACCCTTTGTGGCAAGACAGCTACACACACACTTAAGATTTTACCTCTTCTTGATGACTTGATGCCTTTATTATTAGAAAATACACTTATCCCTGCTAATGTTCCTTTTTCTGAAGTTTGCTTTGTCTTACAGTATTATTTGACTATGACATCAAATCTGCTTTAAAAATCTAAATTTCCAAGCTGGGCTTGGTAGCACATGCCTATAATCCCAGCACTCTAGAAGGCAAAGGCTGAAAAACATCTCAGGTTCAAGCACAGTCTAGGCTACTTAATGACTTAGCAAGACTCTTTCTCAAAATATAAACAGACAGGACTGGGGATATACCTAAGTACAAAGGCCCTGGGGTCCAAACCCCAGTATCACAAACAGAAATTTTTTTTTAAATGCAAATTTCCTCATCTCTTTGCCTAATGGTGTCTTTGCATTAGCAAACCTGCCTAGAACTGGAAATTATTCTAGGACTGAGATGGATAAAATGAACTAGTAATTTCTTACTATCTGTTTGAAAGAAAAGGAACTCACTAGATGACAGACTTTTGTTATGCTTCTACCCTTACCCAGACCCTCCTCTAACGTAAGAGTTTATATGAAGGTTAAAAATGGTGTCTATGTCAAGGACAGTTTTTAACAGCGATAAAATGACAGCCTGGTTTGGTTACAAATGTGCTTGTAAAAAACAGGAGTAAAACAAAACTAGGAGTCAATAAATATCCAGTAAGTATCGGCTCCCAAGTTGGGTACAGAGTGTCAACAGTGGTAAAGCGCCCTTTGTACCATGTGGATGTACCACCTACAAAGTCACTTAATGTCCCTTATGTGAGAAAGGGCTGAGCTCAAGGACTAGACTTGCCAGACCAGATCTCTCCATGCCTCACCTGGACTGTAGGCCTGCCTACATTTCTCTGAGAGGCCTAGAAGTGAGGTGACCTCTACAGGATCAGTGAGAGGGGCTCAAAGAGCTACGCTGTCCTAGTGCGGGCAAGTGAGCACATTCAGGGACTTGAGGGAATAGGTGACGCTCTGTAAGGAATGGTCAGTTGCTGGCAAGCATTGGTATATGTTGTAGCATTTTTTTCCTGCAGAAGTAGAAGAGAACTGTCCCCAAAACATACCATGTACCCGAATTCAATGGATGAAATCTTGGCCTGTACAATGGACCAAAGTCCCCAGAAGAAATGGGAAGCAAGGGCAAATCTGTAATTACAAAATGAGAAACACATGTGAGCTGTACAGTGTCGGTCACAGACATGCAGTGACTTCACATGGGCCACTGGAACTCAGAAGTCGCCTCCGGAGCAACCTCCATTGGACTATACAGGGACTGAGATCGGGGGCAGGCCACTCCTGGCCTCTTCCCACCTCTGGCCAGGGGCAAGTGGACTTACAGGTGTGAGCGCAATGGCAAGCCACACACAATCACCTTCTCAGGACACGGGTGGAGCGCAGTAGCCATGCTGAGAGAGGAAGGATCAATCTTTGCTGCAAGTGTGAGTGCACAGCCTCAGCAACCAAGCAGCAGCCCCTGAAAACCCACTGCCTTTTGCAGGAGGTTGGAGGCAGGCCATTCCCCAAGTGGAGGGCTTCTCAAATCCCATCCTTGCCTCACACAAAAAGGAGCGTGTGAGCCCTGTCACCATCTCTACCTGCAGCCCCCGTCATTGGGAGTCCAGGTTCCTCTTCAAACAATCCCGTAGGGTAAAGCTCTGCTTTAGCATCCTTGCCAGCCCTCCTCCAGGTCCTGGCGATCCCTCGTGGTCCACCCAGTCCCTCAGTGCTGCCTGTTCTGTGGGGTTCTCTACCAGCGTGCTTTTCTATTTCCACCCATTCAAGAAAGCAGGGGAGACTCTGTGTGCCACTGGAGCCCAGGGGCAGGCTGGAAGTGGCAGGCTGGGAGTGGCAGGCTGCCCCTAGGCAAGAAGGGTGAACAGCAAAAGGGGCAAACGCTCTGAGGACCTTGAAGAGACGCCTTGTGACGGGGGAGCAGAAAAGGCGACCCAAAGGTACTCAAACTGTGTCATAAGCAACCCAACAACAGGAACAACCCACTAAAGAGAAGCATGAATAAACTGTGACCCAGAACTTTGCCAGATCTGATGCTTTAGGCTCCTGCTTTGAGAACTGTGAGGAAAAAGTCACCGCAGTTCATAGGGTGGCGCTGCCCTCATGAACGGAAAAGGGAACAGTTACCTATTGACTTCAAGCAACATCTCTTCTTTGATTGCAGACTTTTCTTCACCACTGAGGTTTCCAAAGCCATTCTGGAACGTAGCCAAGTAACTGGAAATAAAATGGAGCTTAAAAAAGAAGTAACCGTGTTAGGTTCCATGATGGTTTAAAGCACACACTAACAACAGCTGCCAGAAGGCACACACACCCATGTGACTGACTAGACTCCTCGGTCTCAGGGAAACTTGTGTGAGTCCTGCTGGTCTGTGCTGGAGCTGAGCCTCGGCCGCTCCCCGCAGGAATCACCACTGGGCCCCAGCTGGCGTGGTTCGCAGCAGAAGTCCTGGTGGACTTGGTGTGGCATACTCGCTACTACCAGTACTTCTGGAGAACATCACCGGGTAAGATCATTTTTTTCCTAATCAAATCCACACATTTGTCACTGTCTGATCTCAAAGCAGGGCAGACTGCTATCAAAGTTTTTGCCACACGGGTCACCTTTCCACACAGGGCTGCCACAAACATGCAGTCGCAGGGCTCCACAGTGACCTGGTGTTCACTGCAGGCATTTCCTTAGTGGACGCTGGACTACGCCAGGCAAAGTGCCTTCCCACCTGAGATGATATGATTATCTACACATTTATGTTGGTAAACTGGCAAAGCTACACTTAGGTTTGGAGTGACAACAGTAACCTACATTTCCACCACAGTGTTACAAAACAATACAATTGATTCACAGTGTATCTCAGAGCTCCAGAATGGTTAAAATATCTAAAAATGGGGGCTGGGGATTTAGCTCAGCGGCACAGTGCCTGCCTGGCAAGTGCGAGGTCGTGAGTTCAATTCCCAGTACTGGAAAAACAAAAACAAAATAAAAATAAAAATATTTCATAACAGACTAAAGAAAAACATGAGATTACTTCAACAGATGCAGAAAGGTTATCTGATAAAGCCCCACACCATCTTTACAACTTTTCAGAAACTAAGAAATGAGAAGGGAAGTTCCTAAAATTTACATGTTGCCGTACAGGAAGTTATAAAGCTCCAGCTTTCATTGAAATGGAATCTCCTCTGACCAACACTCTTCCCCTTCCAAGTCTGACAGTTCTGACCTCCGTTTCAGCATTCCTGGTTTATCATTTCTCTCCCTCCTGCAATAACCCAAATACCCAGAGACTGCAACTGTGCTCTTCCCCAGGCTGAGCAGTCCCATCTTTTCCCACCCTTCCATCTCATGGAATCCTGGCTCCATGTTTGCAACATGTTCAAGTTCATCTCTGTGAGCTTTAAAATGTGGCCACAAGAGAGTAGTTACAAATCCTAGCCCTTAGCAAGCCCACATGCGAACAGCAGCCCTGAAGACTTATCCAGGCACCTGGCTCTGAGCCCCGCATATGACACAGGCTGAGAGAACTGCTGCAACTGCTGTCTGCACCCCTAGCCGCTGTGGTGCAGCAGGGAGCTCCAGGCACCCAAGCTGCTCCCCCACCCCCAGGGCTCAGAGCGGGGCCTGGCGCATTCTCACGCTGCCCACTACACCTCCACCCAAAGCCTCAGCAGTGGCCAAGAGAATTCGCACGAGAAATGAGCGTTCACACAATCATCAGCCTCCGGTAATAGAGGACCGGAAGGGAACTGTTCACGCCAAAGGCATTTCCCTCCAGCTACTAAGTCATGGTACCCAGGTTTGCTTTTCTTCACACAGTGTGAAATGAACAGAGGAAGGTCAATGACCCAAAATAAACAGGAAAGCTTAGCGGTGGCTGTGCTTTTGGATAAAGCTGGAGGGACTACAAAGAAGGCCGAGTCTCTGGCACAAGAATTAAAAAGGAACTGGACTCAAGAGTCAAGTGTGAACCCACATTTAACAGGAAAAAAACTTTTTTTTAACTTAGCAAAAGGGTTAACTCATCACAGTACAATTTAAAAAGAATATTTCTGAAAATGAAAAACTAGCTTAGGAATGCTGGCTGAGGTATGAAGATCACCAAGTTTAAGGCCAGCCTGAGCAACTTAGTGAAACCCTATCTCAAAATAAAATATAAGAGCTGAGGCATAGCTCAGAGGTAAAGTGGTTGGCTAGCATGCGCAAAGCCCTGGGCTCAATCCCCAGTACTGCAAAAACAACAACAAAAACAAAAACCCTATGTAATTCTGCCTAAAACTCATTGGTGTATAGAACTTTATCAAATTTATTAAATCCTATCTCCTACCTGCTGTTTCCTGGTGGGATACTTCTGACTATTTGCTCTGAAAAAAGGGTACTTTTCATAGGTATAATCGTACATCCATTCACAGAAGTGGTTCCCAATGTCGAATCCTCTGAAACAGAAGACAGAAGAAAGCATGAGGCACGCTGTGGGGCCTGCCAGCTCCCTGACCAGGAAGAGAAAGATCTGCCTGGACCCACGGGGCTTCCTGAGTGCACAGGGGTGTGGCAACTTTGGTCACAGGAAGACACAAGAGATTATCGGAGTCACAGTTGTCTGAAGCTATAAAGAGGCCGCCTGAACTGCTGCTCGAGTGCAATGTATCTCTTGTAGTCAGTACTGAGGGAATGAAAAGGACTTTGGCAGCCCAAAGAAAGGCCAAAACTGGATATAAGTGACACTGCAGCTACTGACTACACAGCCACCTAGGAATAAATAGGAGGCCTGTGCTATGGCTTCCCTAGATAGGTGCCTTTTCTTCTGGAGAATGCTTCCAATTCAGCGTACTGTTTTCACTTTCTTCTCCTGGACTTGTTTGATAAATGTATCGGACTAATACAACAGTACTGAAAGACAAGCCTTTGACATATTACCTGTAATTATAACTGCTGTACTCAAAGTCAATCAGCATCAGTTTTTGTTTTTCAGAATTCTCTCGGCCTTCCAGCAATAAGATATTACCTACGAGAAAGAGTGACGAGACATGCTTTACAACAGAAGGCTCAAGTTCTCGGAGAGCAAAGCTGAGAGTGCCTCTGGCCCTGCTGGGGCCCTTGACTCACTCTGGCATTCAGTTGCACAGATACCACGGGCACAGAACAGGGATGTGCTGTACAGCTTGGCCCCTGGCAGATTCCAGACCCATCTCCCCACGGCCCTGGTCCTTCTGTGGGATTCACTGTGGAACAATGCCTGACCTCTCATTCACTAACTGAGGAATGCTTCCCAAATGTTTCCCACAGGGCACAATGCAGCTCCCCTGGCCTCTACACCCCTCCTCATCTGCCCACTCCCTTCAGCAGCCTTGGGATTCGCCCGCTAGCAGGGCTAGGGCTGGGCATAGCAGCAAGAAGCTGTCATGGTGTCCTCCCTGTTTTGGATGCCAGGGCCAAGCTTAGCTACAATAGCGCCCCCTCCTCTGCTTAGCCTGGTGTTCCCTCCTAAGGAAGCTCCAGCAGCGGCCCTATGATGTCCATGTTCCTAAGATCCCCACATTCCATGCTGCTCAGCATCTCAGCACCATAGGGTGGGCGGGTGGGCACTGGGGAGGGAGCCTTTGCTAACTGTTTGGCTCTCTCCCTCCCAGGGTTTCTGATGGGAGGATAAGTTCCTAGGCTTTGCCACATATTTTTCCCATTTCCAACAGCAATGAAAAGAATGAGGCAGATACTCGAAGCGGCAAAACAAAATGAATGCACAACTCCCATCTCTGTCCTTTCCATACTTGCCAGCTGACCCTCTTTCTCAACTATCTCTGGTGATGTCTTCGCTGTAACACCCCATCACCACCATAGAGCAAGGCTGACACCCAAGCTATAGGTGTAATTTCTGATCCTGCTCCACTTGAGTTACCCAGCAAGAGTCAGTAATTCACTAATTGTACTACAATTATTATAAGGAAGTCAGGCTCAAACCAAGGGCTGACGACAGATCTTCATGAGGGACTATTCTGAAACTAAAAGCAAGGTCGAGGGCTGGGGATTTAGCTCAGCTCCACAGCGCCTGCTTGGTAAGCGCAAGGTCGTGAGTTCGATTCCTGGTACCAGAAAAAGAAACCAAAAAAAAAAGCAAGGTGGCCAGGCAGGAAGATCATTTGGGCTCAAAGGTTTACGAGCCAGCCAGGGCAACAGAGCAAGACCTTGTCTCAATAAAAAATATAACAAATCAAGAGCCAGGCACATTGGTGCATGTCTATAACTCCAGGTACTTGGAAGGCTGAGGCTGAAGGAACACTTTGGCCCAAGAGCAGCCTGAGCAACACAACGATTGCTATAGCAGTTTTTTTTTTTCTTATTTTTTTGGGGGGTACTGGGAATCGAACTCATGACCTCAGGCTTGCCAGGCAAGCACTTATGCTGCTGAGCTATATCTCTGGCCCTTAAATATCTATTTTGGGGGGGACTGGAAATCGAACTTGGGACCTTGTACTTGCCAAGCGGGGGCGCTGTGCCACTGAGCTACATCTCCCGCCCACTGAGCAACACAATGAAACACTATCTCAAAAACAAAACAAGGAGGATAGATACTGGGAAGTAGGAAGAGACTGTTCAAATGGATAGGGAGCAAGCGGGGAGAGGAAAGGGAAGGAAGGGAATAGGGCTTAAAAAAAGAGAATGGAAGGAAAAATTGAAACAAAGCTTTTGTAAATGGGGAGGGGATGAAGGTTTGAAGGGAAGTGAGGGAAATGGGGGGAAGAATTAAGATATACATTCCCTATGATAATGTGATCATTATGTATGGCAAACATGTACTAATTAAAAGAAAATTTTAAATGGACCACACACACACACACACACACACACACACACACACATACACAAAGACTGCTGAGCCCAGCCAAGAAGGGCCTGAGGATGGATCACAGCCGTCACAACTAGGCAGTGTTGGTGGCCTCAGCAGGAGTTGCACAATTAGGTGGGACCCTGATTAAACTGTCAAATTGGAAATCACACTGGGTAACATTTTGTGACAATAAGGGACATGTGATGTAATTTTCTGAAGCAGAGCAACCCTAAATCATCCATAGAGAATGATGAATATCAATAGAAAAAGCGGGCTGAAAAGCTCCCCTGGGCTACTCAGTGTGGGAGGGAAGGGCCCGTGTGACTAGGGAGGTGACCTTGGTCTTTTACCACTTCTGCTTAAAGAAGTCATCTCTAAAGTGTTAAACACAATTAGTAACATATGATTTACAAAGTTTAAATCCTTTGTCCCAAATCCCTGCTTTCGTGAGTATTATCTCAGATTTTCCCCATGTAAATATATTTGATACTCTATGTTTTTTTCTAAAACTTACCTCTTTCTGTTAACATATTCTGGAGATTTTTCTACTGATATGTGTAGATGTCTCAGTCTTTTTAAAAAATTCATTTGTAACACCAAAGGGCCTTGTGCATGCTACAGGGCAAGCATTCGACAACTGAGATACACTCTCAGCCTTTATTTTTGTGAGATGGCATATCACAAAATTGTCCATGATGGGCTTGAATTTGTGACCCCCCTCCGTCAGCAACCCAAGTAGCTGGGGTTACAGGCATGCCCCACAGCACCCCGTTTATCTCATTCTTTTGAAAAGTTACACAACAGCTGTCTGTGTGCAGCAAAATCTAATGTTTCTAACACTCCTGACAACCATCTGGCATTTATCACACACACTTGAATCCCGTCTTTAGCATGTGGCAATTCTTACCTTCTTGACAGTCATTATGACAAAATACAACAGGAGACAAAGTAGATTCAAGCAATAATCTGAAAAAGGAAGGAAGGTTTTACTTGTAGCTATCACACTTTTAAGTCAGATGCAACTGCTCCACTCAGCAGGGCCAGCACTGTATTAGCGCTTCAGTGCAACACATGATCTTGTGTAGTAGTTTTCATGTGAAATCTGAAACCATATCATTATATGGTAATAGCTCTACTGCAGTTCACAGCAGAAACCCACACGAGCCTCTCTATACTTGAAGTTCTTTCTGCAGCAGGACCTTTGTATACACTATTCTCCGGAGCACCTGATTTTGTATGGTTCCTCCTCAGCCCTTCTCTGATCACGGACACAAAGCAGGCCCATCTTTACTGTTCTGCTTTGGCCCATGTTCTCTTCACAGCATGTGTCACAATCTAACCTCTGTTTTCCGTCCTAATAAAATGTCTTGCTCACTTTTCCTCACCATCAACACACTGCCCAGCACAGCACACACTGAAGTAGCCAAGTAACCCAAAGTGTAAGTCCTGGTCAAAAGTGTAAGTGCCTGCCCCAGCCATACGCTGAGAACACCTGGTGGCCTCCGAAGAGGTTGTCACCCAAAGGTTACGTTTAACCGCATCTCTCATCCGTATCTTCACTCAACCGCATCTCTCAACCGCATCTTCACTCCCCAGCCTATGCTAATGCCCCACAAACTGTCTTCCTCCATGCACTGAACACTCCTGAGAGCCTGCCTCCTCCATGTAATGTTCCTGGACTGAGTGAAGTGACAGCATACATGGAGCATATGAGATGACAAAGTTCACCTATTAAACCATCCTGCAAAGCCGGCATGAGGTGATAGGTTTGGGGTCAGCTTACTCAGTGTTTCCTGACAATTTTAATGACTAGGAATATTTATACCTTTGGACAGATGTGCCCACTCAGTCAGGAAACAGAAGCGAACACTCACCTCAGCATTTCCAGTTCCAAAGGCAAGTTGTAACTGAGGAACTTCTGGAGCTGTTTAACTCTGGGTTCTTCAGTAAACTTAATTTTCAGCACTTGATCTAGATATCTATTTAAACAAAGGAGTACAAAGGACCACTGCTTAGTTCACCAAGGTGCATTCTTAACCCTCAGTTACACACCTGACACCTACCTGCACAATCACAGGACAGGAATGCTCCTGTCCCCAGGAGGGAAGGGAAGTAGCTAGGAACCTCAGCACTCTAAGAAGCCACCCCCACCAGCAATTTTGCAAACAAGGCTTCCTTCTCGGTCCAAAAACTGATTGCTTCACACATTTACACAAGAAAGACTTATTCAGGAGACAAACTCCAGGACCACTGTCTGTACACAGTGAACCAAGAGAGCGCAGCCCCACCCCTGCAGCAGCTCACACTGACCACTTACTTTTCCATTGTTCCAAAAAGCCACTTGGGTTCCTTATTGAATGGCATTTTCATACCATGAAATGTGGCCATTTTCTCGGCTATTTCTGCAGAAATATCTGGCAAACTTAATTCTTCAGTGTCTAATCGTCTGCTCTGAAATTAAAAAAAAATAAAAAATGGACATTTAACCAGGTAAGCTAGCAAGTCTGAGATCATAAAATCCTAAGAATGACAAGCCAGTTTCTGTAGCTCATTTAAGTGTAGGACATTTAAGGGAACCAGTGCCTTAAGTTCCCTTAAGAATTAACACTGTGTTCCCACAATGACCCAGCAACGGCCATGGCACATCTACATGAAAAGCAGTCTCCTCCCAGGGTCTGCTGTATTACAAATCCTTTTCAATTATGAGAAAGTTATCTTTAAGTTTTGATGAACTAAAAAGTTCTCTCCTATAAGCTATGATTCTGCCCTTTAACGTTACAGTCTGTTCACTGGGCCCAAGCTGGCAAATCTGTCTGGCCCACAGCCCAACCCCTCGCCCTTCCCTTAGATGGAGGCCCTGCTCCGCTACCACCCAGCCAGGAAGGTGTGATGCTCAACACAAGTCCTGAGTAGGAGGCCCCGCAGCCAGCTGCTCTCACAGTGTTCCCTGCATCCTGCCTGGCACAGAGCAGGCTTCAGGGGGCCACACTGGACAAGTGGACAGCCACAGTCCCAATGCAGCCTGAGGCCACACTTGTTCTGATGCTTTTACTGTGTACTCTCAGGAGCCTGTGGTCAATGAATGAGGCCCTTCCAGCTCCCCCATGTGCCTCTCCCCTCCAGAGGATATTATTATCAAGTACTATGTATTACACACAGCTGTATGTGCCACACTTCTACAACCGGCAGCACAGTGGATTTACACCAGCACCCCCACAATGGGTGAGTATTGCCCAGTACTGATGTTAGTTATGCTGGCTACGATGCCACTGGCAGCAGATATTTTATACGTCCATCATAACTTTATGGGACCACTGTCCTACACATGCAGTTTCTATTGTTCACACAAATGTTATGCAGCACATGACTAATTCGTTTGACAATATGGAAACATTAAAGCTAACATGTGAAAGATGAATGGATCTCAAGATGCCAACCTCCTTTGCCATCACAAAGAAAGGGAAATGGAGACTACCATTCATAAAGGTCACTTGCTCTCCCATGCTCTTTGAAAGACTGCAACTAGTCAAGAGGAAACTTAGAAATATTGTATGGTATTAGGTAGAATCAAGTAAAACTGCCAGTTTTGAGGGTCAAAAACAACTGAATGTTGGCAGTTCATATACTCTACTTAGTATTTTTTTGAGACAGGGTCTTGCTGTGCAGTTCAGGCTGGCCTTGAGCTCACTTTGTAGCCCAGGCTGGTCTTGAACTTGCAACGATCCTCCTGCCTCAGCCTCCCAAGTGACACCCAGCTCTATTTAGTATTTTAATAGAATTTAAAACTTCACTGTGCAGTAAGCAATCTATCAAAAGAGCATAGATCTTAAGAACTAGAACAGAACTGATTATACAGAACTTTCAGCATACATGCTTGTTTTTTTTTCTTTTTGAGACAGGGTCTTGCTTTTTCCATAGCCTAAAATGGCCTCAAACTCACAATCCTCCTGCCTCAGCCTTCTTAGTGCTGGGAGTGTCACCATACCCAGCTATCTGTACGTTTCATAAGGTAATTTTTAAACTTGATTTGAGGGGTTCAAGGTGTAGCTAAGCAGTAGAATATTTGCCTGGCATGTGAGAGGCTCTTGGTTCAATCCCCAGCACCACAAAAAACAATCTTTGCTTTTATTGGCCTTTATAAAAATGGCACGATACTATCTGTAGTATTTTGCAATTTGACAGCTGAGACAAGGGGTGTGTTTCAGATTTGCACATATACACCCAAAGACTAAGCACCCTGGCAAGCGTTACAAATATTAAAAATTAAAAATGCCTCAGGCCAACAAGAAAGGGGAAAAGAATCCTTACTGCCTAGAAACAGGGTTTGAATAAGATCTCAGGGGGATGGGAGCAAGGGAAACTATAAAAACAGAAGGAAAGCAGAAACAAAAGGAGAACGATGGATCCACAAGGGCTGTGGCCAGAGGTGTGGCTGCTGTGGTTGGGGCTCTGATGCTATAGCAATGACTTTTTTTTGGTTTTGGTTTTTTTGGCAGTATTGGGAACTTGAACTCAGGGCTTTGTGTGTGCCAGGCAAGGGTTCCACCACTGGGTTACACTGGGCCTCCTGCCCATTTTTTTAAATTTTAATTTTTGGCATTATTTTTGTTTGTGCACGGAGTTGTTTTTGTGGTGGGTAGGGGCTGGGGACCGAACCCAGAGCCTTATGCATGCCAGGCAAGTGCTCCACTGCTGAGCCCGCTCCCCACCAGCCCTCCAGCATCAGGTTCTATAAAGCAAGCCCCAGAGATGGAAAATAAAATGAAAAGAGGAAGACTCAGGGGACAGTGGAATAGTAAATCTCACATATACTTTTATTTGGATGACTCTGTCTTTATAGGAGAAAAAGAGGTTCTGGTATATATTCAAAAAAAGGTTTCTCTTTATTTTCTGATCCAGTTTAATAACATGTCACATTTATTATTTCATATCACAATATTTCAGGTTTTTGCCAAAGTGAGACAAGGAACCCACGTCAACTGACAGTTTATATACACATCTTACCGGGATGAACTGCTCCAGTCGGCCTTGAGGAAAGATGCCATAGAGTTTTGGCCCAAGTGACCTTTCTGCGAGAATGGCAAACATAACACTTTCCAGAACCATGGCTTCAGCCCCCTAAAACAGAAAGCAAAAACAAGGTGTTTACTGAGGCATCAGAAGCATTTTCCCACAAGCAGTTTCTTCCAGTCCTCACTGATACTTTGATGTGGGTATCATCACCCCACTGTAAATATGAAATAAGAGCCTCAAAAGTTACACATCTTGTAATAGGCAGGATCCACGCCTGCAAGCATTTTGCACATGGAGGAGATTTAAAATTTAAGTTTATTTTAGGTCACCTAGTTCTAAAATTAGAACAACTATCTACTGGTGCTTCAATTGCTTCTCTCTCTTTTACAACCTATATGAGTTTCACCACTGGCCACTTACCAACGACCACAACTCCAGCCATTCTGGTGTAGCGGATTTGCCTTTTCATTGACAGTGACTGGTGAAAGTGAATGATCCAAAGGCCTCTGTCTACTAAACTGGCCTGCGGGGCCAGTAAGTTTGATGACTACTGATTTAGGTCTGGGACCTATGGCTTTTCAGTCCAAAGTACCCTGGCATGTGGTATTCATTCCCAGTTTCCAATTTCCACCTTTTGCCCTCTAATGTTCGTATTCCTGTTAAAATCTCTATGAAGCTCCTATGCTGTATCTTCAGTCCTGATAACTAATATGAGGTCTAAAATCATTTTGCTTTCAAAATCCATCCTTTTTGTCTCAATTCAAATTCCTTCCTTAGTCTTTTATCCTTAAATAGTAAATTACAGCTTCTGAGTTTCCACATGTTGGAGTGAAGGCATGGAAAAAGCCATTCTCAATCAGGTGCTTGAATCTCTTGAAGACAAAAGCCATTCTGTGGTCCTGACCCTAAGTTTCTAAGTTGATACATTTAAAGAAAGGAACCAACAGGTGTGTTTTGAAAACCATTTCAGGTGACACTAATGCACCCCTTAAGAAATGTTCTGTGAAGAATATGATTCCAGAAGAACACTTTTTAAAGCACTCACATTACGAAAAAATACTGAGAAACTATGAGGAAAACTCCTTAGGCAATGAGAGAATGCTAGACTTAGAACAAAAAAGAAACTACTTCCAAGGGACATCAGACCACATTAAAGTAAAAAGCAATTCAGTTACATTTTGTAGGGGCAAATGTATTCTTCAGCAATCCCCCACAAATACAGCCTAATCATCATCTGTGTAATCCCCATAATTATGGTCTAACCATTATTTTCTAAGGCTCAATATTTATTTACTAATTTGCAATTATGTGGGTTTTTGTTTGTTTGTTCATTTTTTGAGACAGGGTCTTGCTATGTAGTTCAGGCTGACCTTGAACTCAATACGTAGCCCACACTGACCTCAAATTCACAGCGGTCCTCCTGCCTCAGCCTCCTAAGTGCTAGGATTAAAAGTTGTGCCACAACACCCAGCCAGTTATATGTTTTTGACAGTATACATATAGCATTGATTTGATTAAGTTAATGAATTTTAGAGCAGTGTTTGATCAGTTTTTATTTTTTAAACCCTTACAGAATGACAATACCTAACATCTCCACATAGTTGATGAATTGTTTTCTACCACTCATCTGAGCCTCACAGCACAGTTGCCCAGGCTGGCTGCAGCTGCCTTCAAGCTCAACATGGGAAAGTGCTGGGAAGCTTACCAGTGGGTTTGTGAAGTGTCTTCCACTTCTACATGCATGCCTGCTCTGGAGGGCAGCACACTCTAGCACTCTGGAGACTATAGCACCTCCTGAACTGTACAGACTACAATACTAATGGAGCCTGAGCATCTCATCAGGACAAGAGAGTGGTAGCTTCGGCTCCTAGACCAGGTTGTCACTGTCTCTTCACAGCCCTTCACCACGTGTAAAATTGCTCACAAAATTGTAACTCACTCTCCCATCATTTCCAAATGGTAGACTTAGCATTTATTTCATCTAGGTATCCAGAATTTTGTAAGAATTCCAGAAAATTTTCCAATTTTCTACATGATAGAATGACTAAAGATGAAGAGCATTAAGGGGGGCACTGTATACAACACATACATGTATCTAACCTAAAATACCCTCTAACACTTGAAGTTTCAAGTTTTATTTACAAGGTTAAGCCCTGTTTTATTACTTCAATAGGTTCAGCATTTTGTACATCACATCCACCCAACAGAAGATTCCTAGCCGGGTATGGTGGTGCACGCCTGTAATCCCAGCACTCAGGCGGCTGAGGCAGGAGGACTGCAGCAAGTTTGAGGCCAGCCTGGATTACAAAGTGAGTTCAAGGCCAGCCTGGACTACATAGTGAGACATTGTCTTAAAAAAAAAAAAAAACAAACAAAAAACAGGATTCCTGGAATTGACTTATTTCCATGTGGCAGCACTACCCCTTGGGGACTTGGATCAATAAATTGTCCAGACTTCTCTCCAGAGCGGAGCCTGCCCACGCCCAGAAACAGTGCCAAGAAGGTGCAGAGACTTAACCTTCCAATTCTCTTCTCACTGTTTTGAACTATAAATAAGACCTTCTTCTTATGCAACACCGCAGTTCAGTATTTAGGAAGAAAAAGGGGTGGTGGGAGATAGCAGAATCTGGAGAGTTAGAAAATGAGAATACCAAAGGTACAAGCAAGACAGATTAGGAAGGATGACCAACTCCTAATCATTTCTTTGTGATCACAGGGTTTACAAAGCCCTTTCAGGTCCCTGCTGAAAGCAGGTGAACAAGGTCGGGACAGGGCTGGAGAGATGCAGCTCAGTCTACACTTGCACACCATGCCCGAGTCAGCCAAAGGCCATGTAGCTACAGCTGGTCCTATTTCTTCAGAAAAGAGCAATACCTCATAGATCTGCTTAGGCTTCTACTATGTACGGAGCACTTTGCCACGCATCCGGGAAACAAAACCCAGGAGCCTGCCTATCTGGGAGAAATAGACAGTAAGCGAGTGAATGCAACTACAGACAGTGTCACTACCATGGAAAGACAGAAAAGTGGAACAATAGGGTATGATGGGATGGCTGTAATCTGAGGCTCAAGGGTGAAAAGGAGCTGTGAGCAGCCTGAGGAAGAGCAAGTTTGGTGCATTCAAGGAGTAGGAAAGGGTGGTGCACCTGAAATAGGGGAAAAAAGAGGGCAGGAGTGGCCTGCAGTACAAGCTGGGATCTAGGGAAAGGTGTGGGTAAAGGAATTCCAAAGTCCCCAAAATGCTGAGTGTGTTTAAAACCTTGCATTTGGCAAACTCTCCCAGTAACAGAAGATGAGGAAGCAGCCCTGGGCCTAAGAATGCCCAACATGCAGAGCAACCACTTTCAAACCAAAAGTCATCACAAGAAAGGCATTTGTTATACAGCAACCCATCCACACATACATCAGATGTTATACACAGTAATACTTATCCTCATGAGCAGGCAAGCTTTCTAATATGTTTTTGGGTAATATAGGGGATTGAACGCAGGGCCTTCCCACTGAGCTATATCCCCAGTCCTTTTTTAATTTAATTTTTCATTTGAGACAGGGTCTTGCTAAGTCACCCAGGCTGAACTTGAACTTGTGATCCTCCCGCCTTAGATCCCAGAGTGCCAGGATCACAAGTGTGTGCCACCACACCCAGCTCCTACTACTTTCTACTGTATTTCATTTAAAACATCAAGAAGTCAGGTACAGTGGAGTACACCTGTAGTCCCAGCTACTCAGGAGGATACCAAGTTCAAGGTCAGCCTAGGCTACACAGTAAGATCCTATCTAAAAAATAAAAAAAAACAAACAACAAAATTATCATACTCCATTAAAGATTTACAACCCACCAGATGAACCACTGGCTTTAATGGCAGCAGAAAGAGGATCCAGAAGCAAAGGGAAGTAAGAGACCTGCCATCTTAACGCATTCTCTGTCACACACTGCCCAGGGTCCAACAGCAGGAAAAAAAAAGGAGACACTGGATCTGACAACACAGAAACTGTTAATGACTAAATAAGAACAGTTTCAGAGATGTGATGGGTACAGGTGTCAGATGGGAAGTGGAGGGTAAACAAAAGACGTGGAGGGGCTGGGGATATAGCTCAGTAGTGTAAGCACCTACCTGGCAAGCGCAAGGTCCTGAGTTCAATTCCCAGTACAAAAAAAAAAAAAAAAAACAAATCATGGAAAAGTGGAAGGAACTGAACAGAGGATAAAAGCAAGGGACTAAAATGACTTTTGACGGGGCAGTACTGGAGCTTGAACCCAGAGTCTTCACACTGAGCTACATCCCTAGCTCTTTGAAAAATTTTTTTTTAAATTTTGAGACAAGGTTTTGCTAAGTCGTTAAGTTGCCCAAGCTGGGCTCAAACTTGCAGTTCCTCTTACCTCAGGCTCCTAGAGTGCTGGGATTACAGGTCTAGGCCACCATGCCTGCTTTAAATGGGCTTTTATTAGAAACAAAAAATTAAGGCCCATTAATAAGAATACTGATATTATGAGCCTCTAGAAAAAACACAGCAAGTCTGTAGCATTTTACCCAAAAACGTACAGCCTCATTCCAATCAGAAGAAAACAGCAGACAAAACTGTGGGGCCACTTGCCACAGTAACTGACCAGCACTTTCGCAAGTATCAAGAGAACACAATGAGACCCATTCTGGGCTGGAAAAGACTAAGGAAAAATGCCAGATGCAATGTTGGGATCCTGGCTAAAGCCAGGGACAGAACAAAAGAAAACATCAGTGGAAAGAAAGTCTTTTGAAATTCTAATAAGGTCTGTGTGGTTTAGTTATTAGTACTGTACCAGTGGTCAATGTTCTAGTTCTGGTCACTGCACTGTGGTTATGTAAAACGAGAACATTAGCAAAGCTAGGTAAGGGGTACATGGGAACTCTCCGTACTATTTTGCAACTTGTCCCGTAAGTCTAAAATGTACTTGAAATAAAGTTAAAAAAAACTCATATAAAAAGACTGAAGTCAAGCTGCATGACAAAACTAAGTTAGTGATTCTGTATAACAGGAAGGAACGCGTTTATTACATTTCCCTTTGTGCTTTCCTGTGCTTTTAAAGCTTTTTCTGAAAAAGGAAATTAGGAAGAAAGCAGATACAATTGATTCTGTCTCAAGAAATCTTACTGGGGGCTGGTGGTAGAGCATTTGTTTAGTGGGCAGGGGGCCCCAGGTCTGATGCCCAGCAACTCCCCACGAAGAAAACCTTGCCAATAAAAAAAAGAAAGAAAGAAATGTTTACAGAAAAAAAGAGTATGTCAGGAGTGGCAGCAAAGATGGGGTGGGAGTAAAGAAGGCATAAGCATAGAACATTTCGTCACCTAGAGAAGGGGACTAACAAGGAATCAGACTCAAAGAAGAAAGCAAAGCCAAGGGTGGCATACAAGGGAAGAATACCCTTCAAAAGAGAGGGTCCATCGAAAAGCCAGTGCAGACAAGAAAGGCCTCGAGTGTCGATGGGGGACAGAAGATAAGCAGCCATGAAAGAAAGTGTTCTGGGCCTGGGAATGCAGCTTGGCAGGAGGGCATGTATCTAACAAGCATGCCTCCCTGGGTTCTATCCCCAGGATCACATTAAAAAAAAAAAGAATTAAATTCTACCATCCACTAAGGGTAGGGACAGTGAAGTCTGAAGAGCAAACAGAAACCTGAAACAGACTTCTAGCATCAGGAAATGAACATGCTCGAGAATGTTCTGAGGCAGTGAGGCTGCTCGCCCTAAAATGAAACTTGCCCTCACAACTATGTAATTCTTTTCTAGTAATGTTTAGCTGCAGATGCAGCCCAGAGGAAGCACACAGGTGGGCTGGGCTCAGTGGGGTAAGGATTTACAAGGTGTTGTGGTTTGTGTCTAGATGTCCCCTAAAACTTCACGCAGTCATAGGGTGGAGTGGGCATTGTTTAGTTTGTGATTGGTTCACTGTCTAATGTTGAGATTGGGGATGTGAGTGCTACATCCATCCTAGGGTAGGTAGCCTGCATACAATATAAGGGAGGAAAAGAGGCTTGTTCCTCCCTTTTTGCTCTTGTTGCTTTGCCTCCTGCTGTGTTGCCCCTGTGCAGTGTGCCACTCTACCTTGGAGCCAGGTGATTATGGACAGAAACCTCTACAAACTGTGAGCTAAATAAACCTCTCCTCCCTTAATTTTGGGCATTGGGTATTTTGTCTCAGCAATGAGAAAAGTAACTATGACACAAAGTGAGCACGACAGGAGGTGAGTGGAAAAATGAGCTGAGAACATGTGAAAGAAAAGGCCTGTTTGTGATGACAGAGCTGGGCTCTCAGCTGAACAGTCCTAATAGCAGGTGAAGAGGGCAGATGGACAGTGAGAGGGTGGCAGTGCCTAGACTGGAGGGCTTAATAGTAGCCAGCGAGTGGCAGCTGCAACTGTGCCAAAGTGGGTTGCAGGTCAGCAGGTGGTGGACTGTTAAAGCGGGCATGACAGAGGGGGCACACTTTCTGGGGATAGAAGTCTAGGGCACAGCCAGGGCAGTGGACAACAGATGAGGAATAGGAAGAAGTGGTTGTTAGAGATGAAACAGTCAGAATACCTGTGAGACAATTTGCAATATACCAAGAGCCCTTCCTCTAAGAAAGATAAGAAGCACTGCCAAATGCAGTGCAGTGAGGCTGGCTCACACCAGTTTATATCTCATGCAGGTGCAGAACAGACTGAATTACTTACTTGAAATTCATTTTCTTTCTGAGCTTGTTCGGATCCCTCCTTATTACAGGACCTCTATGAATGAGAAAAACCAAACACTTCTGGTGAGATGGAGAACAACAAGTGGACACTAACTTTGCAACCACCAGAACAGTCAGGGTTTACAGAACACCACAGATTTTTAACAAGGGCTTCTCAGCCCACCATGTCACCAGCATAGTCTAAAGGCACCAGCAGCCTCCAGCACTAGTACCAATGCCTCAGAAAGTGCTTCATCTCTTTACAAGAAAAGGGATGTGCCGTTGAGACCAAATAGCTGCATGTCTCACAGCTGTCCCTATATACCTTTCACAATTTCATTGTTAGGAAAGTCGCTTGAGTGCAGGCCTCCAATTGGGCCTTCTAAAGACAAGCATAGGCTGAGGCTCTCATCAATTTAGCTAGACGGTTCTTTCAAGTCAACCCACCAGGACAGGAGCATCAACATGCCTGTGGATGGCCATGGTTAGCACAGAATGCGGACAGAGGAGACCGCACTGTGCAGGCAAGAAACCGGGCACAGGCTCTGGGCATCTGCCACTTCTTGGACTAAGCCTTCTCATTAGGTTGACAATAGTCCAATCTGAATTTGTCCTCAAGCAAAAAGAGAATTGTGTGGCTTTAATAAAGTTCCTAAAATCATCTTATATATGAATATATTAAGAGTTACTTTTACATCACTTTCCTCAATGAAATTGCAAATTAATGGTAACCAGCACTGTAACAGTAACAACATACTAGATTACCAACTACCACAAGCAACTCTTAGCCTACATTCTTTCTTCATGGCACAGATCATGTATTTCCAAAGCAACCCCCCACCCCAAGTACTTTAAAACTCTATCTTTAATAAAGGAATGGGGAAAAGTTAAGTCAGAAACTTAAGGGTCATGTCAAAATTTTATACTCAACTATTGCCTCTAAAACTGTTATTTGTTACAAGTAAACTAAGTCTGCTTAAACCAGACCCAAGAGGAATCCCATAAAGGAAACCTCTTTAAAAGAATTTAAGGTAAGAGATTCTTGAACATCCCGTGAAAAACATACCTTTCCATTCCACAGCTTATCAAAAATACCTGTACCAAGGGTGGAAAGTGTGGACAGGGGAAAAAATGCCATGTTAAGCAACACCAGCTACTCTAGCAGCATTCAAAAAACCTCGTGATTTAAAGCAACCACTCTCATTCATCATACACCAAAATAACATTCCAGGCATTTCAATGCATGTTTTGTATAAACAGTACATGTCTATAAACAAATATCCATATTCATAAAGCTATCTGCAAAAGGCTTCTAATGTTTCCACAGACACATACTCAATAATATCTGTAATATATAGCTAAGTATATTTGGTACAAAGTACAGAAAGTACAAATGGGGATACATGATATTTTCATTTGTGTAATCTGCATTTTTCTGATGAAAAGATGTTACAGGTTAAATCCCATTACGATGAAAGTTATAAAAATTAAAATATTACAAAAACATTCTAGACACTTGCTGATGTATGCTATAATAAACCCTAGGGAGAAGTGAGTCACCTGAATAAAGATTTTTCACTCCCTTAACTCCAAAACTCTCTCATGAGGAAATGTACCTTAGACTTATGCCTCAGTGGTCAATGAGCAGGAGCTTCTCCTTCTGCTGATGTTAGTCTTCCAGCAGAGCCCCGAGCAAATCCTGATGCTTGCATGGTAAACAAAAGCTCCAGCACTGTGAAGCACAAAGCAAACAAGCCCAAGGAGCAACCTAGTATGGTGGGGGCCTGGGGCAAACTTACATCTGTGTTTCCAACAGTAAGAAAATTCGCTGCAGTGTTGATTAGGACACTGAATGGGACTGACATGCCCCTTAAAGTCTTTGTGCCCCTGACAAGAAAGTAAAGAGCAAACAATAGCTCTGTAATCTGATACATTACATATTACTATTTTGTACCAAAAGTTTTAAGACAAATAAAAAATTTAGGTGTCCTACTGAAATGTGTAACGGGATTTGACCTGCACCAAATTCTAAATGACTATGGTTATTCCTATGCTGTTATTGCTCTAACTGTATCTTCTTAGGGAGATACAGTTAATGGGTTATTTAGCTAACAGAAGTCCCTTTCCTTGTCTAATGGTGCTCTCAAAAGCAAATCATTTTAACCCAAAATTACAAACTGGCTTATAGTTAGTTACAAGGTCACTCTTTAGCACCAGAATACATTAGCACTAGAAACAAACATAAATTCCATTAATTATTTCTCCACTCCTGCCCACCCCTTTCACCCAAAATAAATGCATAACTTACATCATAAGAGCACCATTGCAAAGGCAAGATGGACTTCTGCAATATGCAGCCCTGAGTTCTGTTTCCTCAGTACAGAATGCCCAGGCTCCCTAGAGCCTGCAAACAAGAAGAGTACAACCAGGAAGCCTCAAGCCAGGAAGATGTCATGAGAAAGTTGGAAGAAGCCTCCTGATGTGAGTCAAGTAGAGGTCTATTCACTTTGCCAAAAGAGATCACAGATATTTTCTGTCCAGGAAGATAGGAAATAAAGTATATTTTGGAATCACTTAGATTTTACTCAGTGATACAAATTTATTTGAGGCAGGCAGTAAAATATATTGTACAAATTATTTAGCATAACTTCAAACTTTCCTCTAAGTTGCAAGCTAATAAAAATTCTTATATACAAGTATAAAAATATTACAAATTTGAACACTAGTTATTTTAGTAGTAAAGTATTATTTCATTTGTAGGGAGGTACTGGGGACCAAACCCTGGGTCTCCTGCATGTTAAATTCATGTTCTACCACTGAGCTACATGCTTACCCCTAATTATTTTGATGTGAACATTACTGTAATCTTTTTTTTTTTAATATAGGGAACTGAACTCATGACCTCGTGTTTGCCAGGCAGGCGCTGTGCCACTGAGCTATATCCCTGGCCCATAGTAATTTTTTTTTAAAAAAATCATCTTATACATCTGAACTATTTATGTAAGAAATAATTTAATGTCTGGAATTTGCTTCAAAATAACCCTGAGGAAGGAGGCCAGGGACATGATGAAAGAAGACTGGTAAGGTGCGGAAAATGAACTTGGGGTTCAGTCTTCAGCTTACTTTTGTATTTATTTGAAATTACCCATAATAAAAAGATATTTAGGAATAAACACTGCAATTTCAAAACCTAAGAAACTAGAATGTCTCAAGTATGCATAAGACACCCAACTTTGTATGTACTGAAAAATACTGAATTGTACAACTTAAATAGGTGAATTCTATGTTATAAATTACCCCACCTCCACCCCATGGTAAAACTATGCTGCCACTGACTTCCTGTCAATTTCCTTCCTATTTTGGGTTTCATTTTCCAGACAATCTATTACAGTCATGTACTCATTAACCTGTGATGTAGAAAATAAAACAGGCTAAAGTAGTAGCAGTAATAAAAAGGGTACGTTAACATTTTAAAGTTTTTAAGTTACCAAAGATTTTTTAATATTTTTTTTATTTTTATTTATTTATTTTTTTATTCTTTGTTTTTTTTCCCAGTACCGGGAATTGAACTCAAGACCTCACGCTTGCCAGGCAGGCGCTGTGCCGTTGAGCTAAATCCCCAGCCCCCTACCAAAGATTTTAAAAGCTGAAAGATTTTGATTGTCCAAAAACTTTTAAACTTAAAATCTAAATTTCTAAAAGTCTAAATTCTGTCAGCTAGGAAGATGAGAGAATAGAGGATTTTCATTTTTATATGTGTCTATAATTTAAAAATTGCTTAAAAATGTGTTACTTTTATTATATACATATACTTGGGTTTTTTTTGTTTTGTTGAAACAGGGTCTCACTATGTAGTTCAGATTGGTCTTGAACTCATTATGTAGCCCAGGCAGGCCTTGAACTTGAGGTGATTCTCCTGCCTCAGCCTCCTGAGTGCTGGGATTACAAGCATGCACGACCACACCCAGCTTATATAATACTTATTTATTGGTATGAGATTTAAAATGTCACTTTTCTGATAAAATCGTATTTTAAGGCTCTGTATTTCAGTTTTTTATTTTCAGTGAGACTGTCAAAGCAGTAAATGACCAAGTTACAAGTTATTAGTTTTCAAAATATTCTATTTCAGACCTTAAAAAAGAAAATAAATAGGTAGTAAGACAGCTTTAGGGCCTAAGACAAGATTTCACTGATTAAATTTGGTGTTATGTAATTTTAGGATTTAAAAACATTTAATCATCAAATAAACTACCTTAATAAAAATTTTCACACTGGCCAATTTTTGGTTTTGTTTTGCAGTGCTAGGATCTGATCGGCCAGTACTCAATAAAAGACTCCTCTAAGAATGAGGGAAGTGGGTTTATGGCTAAACTTTTAGCAAAGTCCCATTTATGAGATGAAACAAAGTAGCACACTAGTTTTCCCTAGGGGTCTGAGTATATGAGGGTGTGTAGATATAAATAAATTACTACAGGTGGCCTACAGAAACTGGCATGAAGTGGCAGGTAGTTATTTGAAACATTTAAAGTGTCTTTAAAGATCCACTACTGCATAGGCTGCTCTTGGGACAGGCTGGGAAAAGTGGTTAACTCAGCCCCAAAGAATGAGACCCCGTCAAGAGCATAACAAACTGAGAATGCTATTTAAGAAATGAAATCCTGGGGCTGGGGATTTAGCTCAGCAGCACAGCGCCTGCCTGGCAAGCGCAAGGTCGTGAGTTCAATTCCCAGTACTAGAAAAAAACCAAAACCAAAACCAAAAAAAAAGAAAAGAAAAGAAATGAAATCTTTATCAATTCCAGACAATGCCATAATAAGGAAATACATACAATACAAATAATGGTAGCTGTGGAAACTGAAGTGATACAAATAAGTGTTTCACAGGACACTCTACGATATTCTCTTCTTCCCATTACCCCTTCCCTATCAAAAACAAAACAAAACAAAACAAAAAACCCATGGATCATTCAGCTACTATTTCTCTTTTAAAGGTGTTACATAAAATACAGAGTAAACTGGGGCACATGAGATTAATTCAACTGTTGGCCAGACTCAA